TTAAATGTGGTTACAGCACAGTCGTTCAGTGTTTTACATACATATTTAGCCATTTAATATGTTATAAAGACTGGTAACATACCATTTAAAAACATTGGTCCTACTTAAGACAGGCTATATGTAATGAAAATATTTTTTTCTAAGTTAGAACTTCTAACTTCATACTTTTTATTTACTCACACTGACTGTTCTAAAAAAAATTTTTTTTTGAGTGCAATAAGAAAAGCCTAGTATTTTGAATTTTATTTTGATGTTATTCTAAGATTTTCTATTAAAATAAAGTCAGTAATGACATTTTTTGCGTTCTCTTTTTATCTGAAAAACTATCCAAAAGTATCGAAAGTATCGAAATACATTTTGGTACCGGTACCGGTACCAAAATGTTGGTATCGTGACAACACTAGTTCTGCTTAATTGTGTTTAAAGACCGCAACCTTATCTGGAGCACACTGGGTAGATTATATATCCCATCAGGCCAGGGAAGGCTTGTTTAACCTGCTGCTGTTAAGACCTGAACATGAATAAGTGTCAGAAAATGAACAGAGGAATAGAGTGTAGCCTATTTATCAGTCCAACTGATCTTTACTGAGTACAAATAAACCACATCAAAAGAAATGATATATAATCCTACATTTAATCTTCATCATCATTCAGACCTAACTAAATGAACTCTCACCATGGTAAGGCCCAGTAAGGTTGGGCTGACTAGGTGAACGGGTGCCGGAACAACGCTGCCATGATTTCTTTCCCAGAAAGAATAAAAGACATCTGACCAGCAGATCATCCACAGAAGAACAGCAACAGCCTGTGGGGAGCAGAACAAATCACACATGCTTTCTCACTTGCTGTAGATTCTATTGGATGTAAAACTAGAACCTTTGCACCATACACTATACCGTTTACTTTAAGCATAATAATTACAGTGATTATTAGAGTTTCTCACCTTTTACACAACTATTTCTGCAATTTTACATGTGAACAGCTGACGTCAACACTATGAATGTGTTCTAGGAGAAACTGGAACAGGGGTCATGAGAAGCTATCTCCACATTTGAACTATATCACATCTGCCCCTCTCTATAATGGCCATTCCACTTTCTAGTGTGGCTGTTTGGAACAACTATCAATGCTTGTGATGTAGCCTGGCAACACGCCACATGAACCACTTCCTTTCTAGTATAACCCAAAGCATTTACACACACGACATCATATATGAAAAAGTACTCCACAACATAATTAAGGGTCATATCACTCACAGTTTTGGCTTTGTTGAGGTGACTCATACATATGTAGCCCTGGTTATGGCTGCGGAGGTAGATGAGGTAGATGGGAGCACACACCCAGAGGTAGAGACATGGCAGCCACACCAGTACAGTGTTCTGGAAACACTGGGTGAGGTCTGGACTTGCAGTGTACCATGTTCGGTTCCAATCCTGGCAGATGCAAAGAAGAAGAAAGAAGATGATACAGGTACAACATAGCCAACTTCTGACCACTTTTTAATTTGATTCTTAGTTGCATTTTCGAGGCAGCAATGAGCTATTTTGCCCACTGGGATCAGAAGAGCACCACAACACAGACAGTTACACAACAATCATATTACCTACATTTTAAGGCTGAGAACATGGTATACCCATACAGAAAATGCTCAGGTTGTGAAACCAAAACAAAATTTCAGTATAGCTGCAGAGTTTGGTGAAAAGAATTGAATTGAGCAATACTGATGAATGAAGGCATATGAAACAATATTACTCAGATTAGCAATTAAAAACTTGGTGCATGTCATGTATAGGCCTGCCATGAATGTGCATTGGGTTATAAGGTAAAAGTCCAAATAATACAATGCCTTACCCCAGGAAAACCTGTCAAGACCGTGATTTAACAGTCAATAATACACAATTAAATGTGCTTCAGTATATGGGTTAAATGATATTTACTCATTATTTGGTCCCAAAGAGGGGGTATGAGGCCATGCCACCATAAATCCTCAGGACCACAATAAGCAACACCATTTTCCAGACCTAACCTACCTTTAACACAAAGCATCCCTGAACCCTATCCTCAACTTTGAATCAATATTCAAGCAGCTGATGACAACCAAAGACATCAGTGTTAACCGAGGCCTGGGTTTTCAGTAGGAAACTGAAAGAAGAACTGAAAGGGAACTTTTATAAGCTGTATTCAGCAGCCTCCTCTCTCACCCAATATAAAAATGTAGTTGACAGGAACTACATTATGTCAGTAATAAGCATGAGTTCAAGAAGTGTCTCTCAGCCTAATCCCCGTTAAAACCAACTGTATCTAAACTTCAAATTAAATTCCCCCAGATGACCACTGGTGGTTGCCTGGAAAACTCTGGGGTATGCAGCATTTTCTAAATAACAACTCCCAGACAGTTAAGCTACACTAACCTTAACCATCACAGCTAAATGCCTAACCCTACCTCAAACCCAATTTTAACCTTAACTCTAAAACCAAGTCTTAACCCTTAAACACCCCTCTGAAGTTGTGAGGAGAGAGCAGAGTGTCCTCACATTCATAGTAGCAAACACACACACACACAGATAAACATTTGTCCACACAACCACAGAAAGCCACACACAGAGAAACAACTCAGCTCCTATACATAGCACCTATTATAGTAACCTCTGGGGTTTTACACATTCTCCACTATGACACTTGATGGACAACAGCTTTCTACTACTCTACTTATAATTTCCATACTTACACTCTCATTTCAACACCCTTTTTATGCCCACTCTATACTTACTACCCTCCACCTCCTTCTCGATACAAAATTGAGCCAACAATGTGCTTTATCTCCCAGACTTTCCACGCTTTTCCAGCATTTCAGCAGCTAGCAACGCAGCCAGCTTTCCATAAGCCAGCCCACCGCAATTCTTAAATAAAACATGTGATAGTATTGTCTGTAATGTACCGTGGTCAGTTGTCTGATGTGACACAGTAACTAACATCGACAGTGCTTCAGGTGACGCTTTGTGGCTTTGAGGCATTTGCTCTTGAAGTCTATAAGAGCGGGTTAAGTTGTGTAACGAGGACCGGTGGTGCAGGCGGTGGTTTCATTACTGCTCATAACCATATAATATGGGCTACACGATAAAAGCTTTTTAAGTGTTTCTTAAACACCACGGTGCGGTACGTGCTCTGTAGACAACATGCAAACACTGATCCGGACTAATATTAGGCTACGTACAGTTGTCGGCTAAGCAGGAAATGTATGCCGGTAGCCCAGTGGGACAGGTGGCTAGTAACAACAACTAAGGAGACTTTTAAGATCAAGGAAAACACATGAAGGATGTAAAAATAAACTCACCCAGAATGGATCAGAATTATTCAGACTGCAGAACTCGTCAAGCCCCATTAGCCGCAACGTTACGGACTTTCAAGTCCTGCCTGTTTGCGTGACTTCGGAGCTCAGCTTTGGTTTTGTAACCTCTCTCCACACACTGTGATGTTTATGCTCGTACAGGCAAAGCGTAAGGTTGCTGCCTCTGCTTTTCTTCGGTAGTTTACAAATCCACGTGAAACACCAGTCTACTGCCCCCTGCTGTACTGGCGTTACATCTATCATGGCTCATTGAATGTGCCCATTACCTATGAGTTATAAACCATTTTATTATGATGAAACGATTTGATTTCAGTTCTAAAAATGGAAGGAAGAAGTCCCATTGCCAGTTTGTCTTCCACTAGTGTACTTATCAGAGACTACAAAAGCCTTACTTCACCGCATCCAGATGATTGTTAGAACAGCACTATCACTACCGTGGGATCTGCATTAATACATGTAGAAGTGGAACAATTTGCTGTCCTGTTTTGCCTCCTTTCTTTAATGTACCCCAATGATATTTCTACTGTGTAGATATAGGCTATATGTCAACACTGAAACATTTTAATAGTATTCAACACAGTTCAGTAGTCTGTGTGTTTGCTTCTGAAGGTTCATGATTTGGGTTTTTAGATCAATCTGTAGACTGGTTAAATAATGAATCAACACTAATTTATTCTTGAACGCAGTGTTACATTTAACCTGATATCTCCTATTTCTATTCTCTCACACAGTGGTAGCTGGGCTCCAGAGTCTCCACGGTGATTAGCATATAGCAGGATCTTGGCCCTTGACACTTTTAATCTTCAAGTCTTACAAAGGCTGTTGATTTCTAAATATTCCTAAATATCTCTCATTGCATGTGAGGCATATGATTAGAAGATATGCTGTCAGGACAATGAAGAACTGACTCTTAGCAATATTTTTTTTTGTAAGGGGCACCTGTGGCTCAGGAGGTAGAGTGGGTCATCTTCCAACTGGAGACTTGGTTTTTTGATTGCCAGGTTTTCCAATTCACGTGTTGGAGTGTTCTTGAGCAAGATATTGAACCCCAAGTTAGTCCCAGTGGTTGTCCCTCCGGTGTGTGAGAGTGTGTGCTTGGGAATGCAAATGGGTGGATGGGAAAGTAACATGAAAGTGCTCTGAGTGTGTTGCATTGTATCAAAAATCGCTATACAAGTACAAACATATCCCAGGACAAAAGCCTATAGTCAATTGAAGGCCTGAGTCACTGTGTTAAAGTCTGTTTTGAGTCAGAAGTCATCAGATGTATATATGTTACTATACTGCTCCATATGGCCTGTAGCATGTTGGCTAATAGGAGAATCCATTCTGCCAAGAGTTTCTTCCATTTTCTGTCACTGAATACAGCATGTCATAGGATTAGCTAAAGAGTACTTTAAAATCAATAAATCAAGCAGTAAAAATGTCCCCTCTTTTTATTCAACATATCTCAAATATGACTTCAAATATAGCATTTTCCTTAAAAGTATGACTTGTCCATCAAAAACAGTACACAAATATATTAAGTTATTCCATTAACAAGTACTAGTCAGTCATTGGTGAGTAAATGTGTAATGTTCTCAAGGAAAAGACAAAAATAGCAGTGAAACTCAGAGGTGAAGGTAAACTATATTAGTTTGGCCACATGGTGGCAGCATAGGGTTGGGTTCACTTTTTATCATCATCGTCATCATCATCAAAGACGTCAGCTACAGTCCTGTGAATGCAGAGACAAGCAGGTTACACACTGTAGTTCACAAGTGTTTGAACAGGTGTCAGTTCAGTGTGAATACGACTTACTTGTAGATTGATCCGGTCACTTCATCAACAAAACCTCCTGAAGAAAAAGACAGAGCAGGTGTGAGGTGGAGACAGTGTCATCAAACAGCAATGTCCAGCATTTCTCATCGCTGAGAGAACTGTTGACTTGCACAGATGTTAGAAAACATTCTTGTTTCAAAATCATTCCATATCCATGTGATTCAGCAGATCAAATCTTACCTCCTTTTGGGGTTACAAAAGTGTTGCCACATCATTAGATTGTGATGAATTTACACTCACTACATAGCCAGATTTGGTCTACTCTGCTGCTGCATGGGAAAGAAGTCCTAGCTCTTCTGTCTAAGCTTGAGTTCTTAGTGAAGTTTAGGAGACCCTACTCTTTTTAGAAATACGAATCAAGTCCTAAGTTGAAAGCTTCTTGTTTTATAAAAGTAGGGACCAGTTAACTGAGCAAAGAGAAAACATTTGTAATGTGATACTGTAAAAATGACTTTTCTCTGACTGTGGCAGCTCTGCATTTACTCACCAGGTTTACACAGAGTGTGGCAAACAGGACACACACGGCAGAATTTGCACATCTGTGAGCAAGAAAGCAACAAAGTAATAGAAATGAAGAGTCAGAAATGTAAACAGTTATCAGAAGAGGCCTAATCCTAATCTATTTGTCTGGCCCAAGATCTGTCTGGCCTCAACCTGTTTTCTGTACAAAGTCAGACTACACTTGTATAGGTTACTTTATACAGCTCCAAAAACATTTGCATGTATGGAAGCCCATTTCCATCAGGAGAAAAATAAAGTGATCAGAATGATATAGTAGCTCATAAACTTTGCATGCCATCGTCACTGTTATGATCATCCTTGACTTTCCATCCATGTGTTTTCTTTTTCTGACAAATATAGACTCAGCAAAACAAACATGTGAATGGTTAAAAAGTATAATGTGCAACCTGGTTTATTTCCTCACCATGTACTGATTATGGCCAGACGGATATCAGATATAAACCTTCTTTAGTTTTTAAGGAATAATGAAGTCTTCCATGTATCATCCCACAGTAGTGACAGTGCTTAGACACTACACACTTTACAAATTTGATAATACTTGCAATATACAAGTTGAAAATTGGACAGACAGTTTCCATTTTTGAGCATAGTACAAGAAGAAAGGTCTTGGTCATGAATATTAATAAAACAATCCAAGTGAAAACAGACAATAGATTTGGAGATAAGTCATCATGACACAAGGTACTGGTCATGGGAAATTTTAGCTCAGATCATGATACTAGAGGAAAGGTCAGGGGTCACCAATATTAATAATATGCATTCAGTTATACTGCATATGCATACACTGGGGCCAAAAATATGCACATGTTTGGTTAGTAGTGGCCAAGGTATCTCACTCTAAACCACAGTGTTGGGCAGATTGACTCACTTTTCATCACCATCCAAAGACAAGACAGCTTCACTTAATTTTGATGATTTAGTTCTTTCTAATACAAGAGGGGGAGCTGAAAGCTGCTACTTTGTTCTTGTGGTTATTTATAGTTAGATACTGATGTCATGAAGGCATTAGTTTAGCATGTATGAACCACTGCACTGGACAAACTAGAATGTTGACCTGATGATGGAAAATTGTATACTTTTCTTACCTTGCAGTCATCACAGTGTTTAGACTTGTCTCCCTCTTTACAGGGGCATTTATCACAGATGTCACAGTGCTGGAAGAAGAAAATCTAGTTAAAAGAAGTCTAGAGAGCAGGTTATTAGAGAGGGCAGCGTTAGACCAGATTATACACAACAGAACCTATGCTGTGGCCACATGTAGAGTCCGGCATTGTACGTACATATAGCAGTTCACTTCACTATGTAACAAAACAAATCACTGCTGTTTAATATTTAGCACAGCTGATTTTCATCGTTACATTTGGCTGCATTTAATTGAATTAATTTCATACATACCTCACAGAATTCACAATATGAGCACACAGAACCTTCCTCATAATCCTCATCCTCATCCTCATCCTCATCCTCATCGTCATCATCATCATCACCAGCATCTGCACATAATATCGATAATAAATACCTGACTTTTAAACTAAAATACTTGGAAAGATCTAAAACTCCACAATGCTACATCAAAATATGTACAGGTTACATGGCTTATAATGTGGACACAAAGAGATAGTGGTTTGCCTACAAATTATAGTTTACAGTAATTTTGGAGCAGCTTAAAATTTAGACTACACTTTTAAAGTTTTGAAGAAATATACAGTATATTTGGGGGTGTCACAGGACTGGGCTCATGGAGAGTGACTGAAAATATAGTACATTATCTGAATATTACTTTTTTTGTTTGCTTGTTTTCCTTTAGCAAATTGCATGTTTGCTTTCCATAAAATAGAGGAAGGTCATCATACAAACGGTTTAATGAAAAGCAACATTTCTGTAAGGCAGTTATATTACATTTTATTCCAGTTGTTTCTACACTATAAAAATCCAAACTTGTAATTTTTTTTTCTAACTTTCATCGGTTAACTGAATGATAGTTTAAAAATGTTTCTAAGCTAACTCATAATAGCATGTTTACTATGAAATCCTAAATAATACCTCAGTCTGTGTAAAAATACAAGTTGAGAAAACTTGTCATCATAATTTTTTCATTTGTTAAGAAGTGTTTTCATACTGTTTTCATACAGGTAGAGAACAGCTGTGAACTTGCTACACACCATGTGCATCAGTAAAACTGCTATGTTTGAGTGTAATTTAAAATATATCTCTATGCTATTTCTATATTTACCTTCTTGACAGTTTGTCTGACAGAATGGAAAAGAAAATGCTACATGACAGACCCCCACTGTCATTGGGTGTACTTTTTCTAATTGATAAGGTTAGCTAATGTTGATATTGCGCTAAATAGCCACTGCTAAGTTAGCGAGATAAAAGAGTTCATTTAGAATGTGATATTTGTTTGCAGTTTCAGTTGTCAGAGGGCTGTGATGTTGTATTGACAGTTAATTGTGTTTACCTAAAAGATTGGCAGTACTGTAGACAGAAATTTGTAATTTGTCAGAACTGAAAATTACAAGTTCACTTGTCACACTGTAAAACATGATACATGAAGTTTTGTTAATTTCATGTTAATTCAACTTTGAATGTCTAGGGGTTTTTTTTCAAACCACTAAACTGATAAGTTGAATGAAGCGTTCACTGAACTCATTAAATTAATCTTTTAAGGAAACAAAATTAGCATATTTCTCAGCATGTATTGTTGGAGAGTTAAAACTCTTCAAAAACTCTTCTATTTGTATTTTTAAAGATCCCATTCATGGTGGAAACTTTCTCTATGTTTATAAATTAAAACGTCACTTTGCCGCCTCATATGCTACCTTTGTACTGATTTTGGTACAAAATGTCTCCATCAGGTGAGGCTGTAAGTTCTTCATTTCAAATGAAGAAATGTAAAAGGACAGTATATCTGTCTGCAGTGAGATTCCACATGACCAAACAATTGAGTCAACTTACAATTTCAAGTTCACAGAACAAAGGATTTGCTCTTTTGCAGACTTACATTTGGCAATGGCTACAATTTGAAATTTTCCAAATTAAACAATCTAAGCACAACATTTACATTTTTGAGTTGAACTGCCTGCTAATCTTAAGTAATTTTAACTAGTCATGTTAAGTTAGTACATAAAAAGCCTTTAGAAAAAAAATCTGTTAAAGCTAGATGAATTTCATTTTTACAGTGTTTTTCAGTTAGCGTGGCTTTGTATAGCTTCATCTCATAATTTCATTTTTCACTTAATGCTGTAATTTGCATGCATTTTCAATTTTGGAATGTGATTATTTATAAATAAATTTTAGCAGCATTTTCTTTTGGCTTCCTTGAGCATTTTTGGCATTTTACATACTATTGGTAGTTACATCTATAACAATGCATCATATTTTACATTAGCTGATTTGGGTGTAATACATTCATTTGTAAAGTAATTTGCAAATATGGCTGTTAGATCAGTGTAGTGAAGTATTAAGTACAAAAAGAGGTACAAAAACAGCTCATAATTATACTTAAGTAAACAACTGGAGTAAATGCACTTAGTTGCAGTAAATTTCACCAATGTGACAAATGTACAGTACAAATATTTTGCAAGTTAATTTTGGACACAAGAAGAATGTTATTGCATTTGTTATAACATGTTGTACTGTTTGACCAATCAGCTCTTGGTGTCCGTTACATTTTTGCAGGCTCCCTTCCTCATTAATAAGATACTGTAGTTAAATGTTTCACCCAGATAGTCACATCCCATCATTTTAATTAAGATAGTCATATTACATTTGTATCCCCACCCACGCACACGTACACACTATTGTAATCACTCATACAAACATTCACAGAACACAATTCATATAGCAGCCCATGCTGTGATCAGAACTGATACTTACAGGTTTCAGTTATCTGTAGTTCAGGTCCTTACACAGGTAACATGACCAAACACATTTGTACAGCTCTCTGATAAAAGTAACGATGCCGTCCTTGCTCTTTTACAGCTGTAATACAAAGTCTCTGCCTTTGGTAACAGACTTGCATGTAGGCAGTGTGTGATCATTTGATTTATTTAACGAATGAAAGTAGGGTTATAGACACGGAGAGTGGTGATTGTCATTTTTTCCACACATGAATGTTCACAGTCATCACAAAAGCACAGTTTTGCTAAACAACAGAAAAAAGAAAAAGCAAACAACCATTTCATCTCTTGACAATATGTTATTTGACAGAGCTTTAGCTCTATTACTTCCTCTATAGAAAGAGACATTTCTCTCTTTTCCCAAGCACTCTCTCCCTAAAGGTCTGAACAATTATCATGAGAATCTACTGCCGTAACATTTCATAACAAATGAGAACTTTTACATCTGTTCAGCTTAGTTTCACAAACAGCTCAAATATTTGTATTCAATTATATGAGTACCAAATATGCATTGAGTAGGAAGACTGCACAAAACTCAAAAAAAATATTCGTCACTGTGTAAGCTTCTAAAATGTGTATCAAAAGGTCTTAATTTATCTACTGGTTCAAAACATTAGTGTTTTAGAAAATAAAAAGTGGTATGATTATTACACCATTCATAGATACACTAATATTCTATTATCTTATATGTTTAGCAATTTTATAAGTGCACACACCAGATTTGAAAAATAAGTTCTCTCTATGACATGCCTCTCTAACAGACAGTGGCATAAATGCTCCACAGAGAAAGAAAGAGATTGAGAGATATGGAGAAAGAGAGAAACTTTACATCCGTTGATACTCTAAACTTTTAAATAAAGAAATTTAGGTAGTGGCCCTCCTGCACCTCCCCTCGCGCTTTATTCTCCCTCTGTCTGTTTCTCTAGCACCCCGATCCCCCAACCACCCCCGATATCACTGTCTCTCTTTCTTTCTCTGTAGGTTCACATGAAGACACAAATGCAGGTCAATCTGATCAAAAACATATGAGAAAGGAACCATTCTGGAGGAACCATTCTTTCAAAAGAAACACAAATCAAAAGATCTCAGACTAGTGACTCCAGTGACTGATTTCCAAGTCAGGCTTGGTTTGTGTGAAATTGTTTTTTTCATTCTCTCTCTCTCTCTCAAATCAATGCTTCTGCAGTCCTCAAGTTCATATCTAGTGTACTGTACGAAGGACTTCGGACAGTTGGACTTCAGATGGGCCAGTTCAATTTCCCCATAGTGCTCATAATTCTAGTTAAGCAGGGAAAAGAACAGAGTGTCAGAGAAAGCAAGGGAAATGGACAGCTGGAAAGGGGTGGAGGAGGGACTTTGATTACCAATGAGCTCTGAGATATTAAAATAAGAACTGACAGAGAGGTGATAAGGTTGTAAGAATTAACGAGAGGGGAGTGGCTAACACTTGTCTTAGCTCCTCCCCTTTCGCACACTGTCCTGTAACACGTTTGTACCCGAAGCACATTGTCAACTGCATGTCAAAGCATCAGTTCTAACTGAAACTGGAACTTTAAATATATAAGTAGGGGGTAGGAGGTGTGGCCTGTTTGGTTGCTGCACCTTATTTCAGGCAGTGTGATTAAATAATCACAGCCTGATCTGGAATAAATAGCATATTATAGTTTAACTTCAGTGACAGTCGGTGCTTTAACAGTATGCAGCTTCCCGTTTGCTTCAGGTGCAGATGTCTGCATATATGCTCACACAGAAAGAGATTAAGACACATGGGAACAAAGAAACTACTACTATGTTTAAAGTAACTGACCTTCATGATCATCATCATCATCATCGTCATCGTCGTCATCATCATCATCATCGTCATCATCGTCGTCATCGTCGTCGTCGTCGTCGTCATCGTCGTCATCGTCATCATCGTCGTCATCGTCGTCATCGTCGTCATCGTCGTCATCGTCATCATCGTCGTCATCGCCGTCGTCTCATATCGTCGTCGTCGTCATCATCATCGTCATCATCGTGGTCGCCATTGTTGTGGTCATCATCATCATCATCATCATCATCATGATCAGCCACCAAACCTTGCTCAGAGCGGAATGGCAGATCCTGTGCCTTGGCAGTGGGAGCCAGCGGGGTGTGAAAGGAGCAGAGCAGTGCCAGAAGCAGTGCGAGAATACAGCTTCTCAATGATGCCATGGTTATAGGCAAGACCTGGCCAATTAATGAGGAATTAACCTAAAATCACTGCAGAAGTTCAACGCCACAGACACCACAACTCTTTGCCTATTTGCCCCCCCAACACACAAACTCACAAAGTCAAACCCACTCAGAGGTGCACACTGCTACAGTAGGGAATGAACGCCAGTTATAATGGCATTCAATAGACAAGGCCCTGTGCAGAGGAGATATTCCAAGCTGAGATCCAGACACTTGTTCACAAAAATGATCCTTGGAAAAGAAGTGTACTCCCTTTGAATCTGGGGCCACAAAAATACAGGGTGTCGGTTAGTCCAGTGCAGCACTTGTGTGATCAGTTAAGACTGAAATAAAAAGCAGAGAGGAGAGCCGTCAGTAACTGGTCAATGCTGGAGACACACAGGACTAATGTGAGAGCGACAGAAAAAGAGTAACCAACCTATGGGGTAAGCTGAGAAGGAGGGGGGCAGGCACATTGACTGATGGGAACAAATGCTGGTGGGCAGGCCTGTAATATCCATAAGTTAAATTACTTGGCGAACAGGAGAATGATTGGAACAAGGGGAGTATACTTTCTTTTTTGTTATCATTTAATGTTCACGTAGGCCATAATTACTATATATTGTGAGAGAAAGGAGGAGAATGAGTTGGTATAGAGGTGGGAGTATATTGGATATGTCATTCTACTTAGTACAGACTGACCATGTGTTACAGCAGGTTCCTTTTGGGGTAGGTGGATGAACAGTTTGCCTAACTAGCAGCAGGGATGATGATGTTGAAAGATCCTTTGTGAGATCAGTTAGTTTGTCCCTTCAATGCTGTGGTCCAAATAAGGTATTCAAATTTGTTATAGATATTTATGCTCTCAGAGGATGATGGTTAATAATTTTAGTGACTGCTTGACCTTTCCACTAGAGTGCCATGGGTCCATCCAGCCAATCCAAGATGATGTATGCTAGAAAATAAAGTTTGTGTTTGTAGGATTTTTCCTTGGATATTCTTGCCAAATTCAAGAAAGATCCCAGTAATTTCATGACCGCCTGAATTCTTGCCCAATTGATGCTTCTTGGAGGATCAATTCTTTCCATTTTGGAAGCATTCTTATTCTATTATCAGTACACTAGAAGATTATATTGGATAAAGTTTTTAAAGGTTCAGTCCAAAACTTTAAAATGTTTTTATATTATCCATACATTGCAGACAGAGGTTTGTTAAAGTCTTGGAAAGCTCATGATTATGGCTTAGAAAGTGCAGTTAAAGCATGTCTCAGGCAGGAGAACTGAAGGTCACTCCATGCTTTCTGTGTCCACAAAGGTCTATGTGGGTTCATATGACAATCCCAAGTCCACGAGGGTTCATGCAGCCTCTCTGCAGATGTCTGTGTGCAGTCTAAAATGTGAATTCTGCACAAGCACCAGTCAAGCACAGCACCGGTCCTGTTCTTATTAAGTGGTTTCACACGTTGTTGTTTTTTTTTGTTATTTTTATGTTGTTCAGCCAAACACATCAAATAAAGGAAATCTTCCTGCTTTCAGGAGGTTGCCATCATAGTTTCTAGAACACATGTGGAACGTATCTGCACATGCTTACCCCAAAGTACGAACAATATACAAACTGTTAGATACCTGGTCTAGGCCTGTATTGTCCAAATTAACCATAATGAATTCCCAGAGGCCCTGGCTTGAAAAAAACCCAGAGAATTTAAGGCCCTTTCCCTGCAAGTAGGAAAAACATTTTTAGCTTTGAGAATAGCTAAATCATCATTTTGTTGAGCATCCTGTCCAACATTATACTGTGAAAAATTATGTGGCATGTGGGACTGTTGGTCTCAGCTACTGGATATCTGGCTTACAAAATCTGGGGTTTACCTCCAGCATTGCCATCATGCTGACACCATCAGAGAATATGCACTACCGGGCATATAGGCCAGGAACAGATACTCTAGCCCATCTACTTGTCTGTTCCTTCCCCTTACACGCTGGCCCCCAAAATAGATGGTTTGGAGTTGGAGGAGGAGTTGACAACCACTCTATTTAAAACCACACACTGTCAGAGTCAGTGTAATGTGAGCCTCCTTGGCTCTGTCTGTGTGGGGCACAATATCCCTCACCCCTGTCAGTTCTCACCTACACAGGCATAAAGAAAGAGGTCAATGACAGGAACCTCTGAAACACCACCTAAACCCAGCTTATAGATACATGCACTCTATTAGTTTTTGCACACTGCTGATGTTATTGTACAAACAGTCCTGGTTGAATGAGTGATCATCTTTATACATACTGTAATGACAAAAGGCATTTGAATAAGTGGAAGGCTATCTTCCTGTAGTTCTTGTTAATCTTAAAGAACCAGGAACCCTTGGAGGAACAAAGAGCTACAGTATTGAAGTTAGAGATAAATGTATGACAGCCTGAGTGGCCAAGCAAAGGAAAAAATCAATTTTTAACTGAGAAGTCAGTTACATCAGTAGTACTAGAACTTGTCAGCCAGAACACAAAGAGCAGGGAAAAGTGAAGCGAGTTGTTCGAGAGCTGTTCTAGCTTCTCAAGTAGTCATTAAATCAAATAAAACAGATACCCTAGATGACTGCACAGATCCCATCCCAGCTCATTTAACACAGATATGACTAATTGCATTTTACATAAACACATAATCTTTGGTACAACAGCATAGGCTTGGGAGCAGGTTCATAATCAAGTTTGAAATGGTGACAAGCTAGTGGCAGTGAAAAACAGCTGAGCTGGAAAGAGCAAAGGACAAAATGAGAGAAGAGATCAGACCAAGATGAAGACTGCAAAGTGGCTGAAAGTGGAGATGAGCTCAGACATGCCAAAGACATTTCTTCTGTCTTAGTTTGGACCACTGACTGCCTGCACTGACACACTTGAGCCACTACTGCCACTGCTCTTTAATTCCTCCTCCCCACACAATCTTCAAGAACACATGCCAGCTAGCATCATTTTTGAAGAGTAATTGATGCATGCCTGGCTTTTTACCTGCCTGCTTTAACTTGGGACAGATGTTGACACCTGAGTAACCCTAACACTGGACCTCTTTAGGTCCAACATGTCTGGGTTAAAAAAAAAACTTAAAAGAATTGGTGTTGTTTAAGGTGTCAGACAGGGAGTTGTGAGGAAATGAGATGACAGCAAATGCGTTGCATCAGCCCATTCATCCACCAGATCTGACATTCTCCAACAGGGTTCATTTGACTTGCTGAATCTGATCCAGTGCCACATCCAACCTAAGCTCTTTCCATGTAAGGACTGTCTAAAGTGGGAAATCACTTTCCACGATACAGTTACCTAAGGAGACTGGTGTGTGTGTGTGTGTGTGTGTGTGTGCGTTAGTTAGAAAACTCATTTAAAAGCTCAAGATGGCCACAAATGAACTAAAATATTTTCAACAAATACCAAAAACACATCTCATACAAACTTGCTGCCCTCAACACTTCCTGTACGTGCTGAACTGCAGCCTGTACAGTGAAGAATACTGAAGAGACTGACTGAGAGTTTCAGGGCTTGACAGATCTGATCTTGTACCAGAGCCTGGCACTATGTGCAGTGCTTGTTAGCTTGTTAGCCTGAGGATCTTATTCCTGCTACTTGCAGTTTGCTGAAACTAACTGCTGCAGTTTGGTGGATAGTTGCATAACTTTCGGTGCCAGTTAGTGTTTTGGATTTTAATTGAAATGGATATCATGTCCAGGTAATGCCTTATTTTGGCTGTTCTCAGGACAACATACATATATTTACTGTAAAAAATCATTTAGCATGAACACAGTTATATTAAACACTTCCTGATTTCATAACTTGCTATTCATTTAGTCATTGCCATTTCATAGCTTACTATTTTGGAAGGATATTGGAAAATTATGATAGCTGCCCTGCACTCTGTGGCGCGAAAGGTTTGTGGCACCAACTACTCACAATACTTGATGCATTTAGAGGTCCAGGCCCAGGTGTACAGAGGCAACATAACACTCCAGTCTACTGGCACTACTCTGAATGCACTGATGTAAAGTATCAGTGAAGATGTTGGGGGGAAAAAAGCTGAGACATTTCAAAAATTTAAAACAGTATTTGGCCTTTGTTGTATTAACCCAAGTGATAAAAGCTGAAGTCAGTGACTGAAGTGGGTTAAGATGTGGTGGCACTAATGATATGCTAGCGGCTAATTCAGCCCTTGTGGTTGCTGCTTGTTTGCTGGCTCCAGTGACAGACACAAAAACATGATGTTTGACAAAAACTCTTTATTAAAACAATTTTAAAAATTAACCTGAGCACAGGGGACCCTAAACCCATAGTCTTACATAAAATAGTACACAATACATAAAGAACAAAAAGGATGAATATTCTTCATCTTTAGACATAGAGGGAAGGTTTCGGTTTCCAGTGTATTAAACCTGCCCACAGACAGCATCACTAATGTTGTGTGTGGTCAAATATAAATTTCAAACACATTTTTTCCATTCTTCTCATTTGGTTTACAACATGAATGAGCTGGTTGCTGAGGCAGCTTATGCATGTACTATAGCAAGTGGTTCTTAACACTACTTGCATTGTATGTTAGAATGTTCTCCTCATTGTAGACACAATCCTCCAGTAAGACATTTTTCAGTTTGAATGAAAATCAAAATTTTCTACAATTTTAAAAAGAAAAACAGATTTCTACAGAGACCCTTCACCTTGTATATATACTGCATATAATACAGTAATACATATATGATACATACAATATCTGTCTACATTATGTGTGGGAATTCAATATTAGGTGAGAGAGAAAAACAGCATTTAAATTTTCTGTATGCCCTGCACATATAGTGAATTGACAATAAAAAAAAAATCTTTGACTAGGTCACTATCATAAAAACAGATGTATTGGTTTAAAAAGAAAAAGCAAAAATATACAAATCACAACCCGCAACAGAAAAATATCACACCTCTAAACAGTGACCTGCTATTTTACTAAATAAGATATGAAGTTCTCTAAGACATTCCCACCACCACCACCCCCTCTGAGGGATTTTTAGAAGTTTTTAAAAATGTTATTCCATGTGAATGCACAGATGACAGAAGCTGAGTGTTATGTCCAGACTCTTATTTCAGTGACTGTAGCAGTTTTTGTGCAAAGTGACATCATCACATCTGAGCTGTCTTTTTCACGCATGTACTGACCAATTTTTTTTTTTTTTTTTTGGTAGCTTAAACTGCATCTGGAATTGCATTGCTAAGCTGCTGCTAATTAAGTGGAAGATTTTCTGCTGCTACTTCAGAGCTTCTTGATAGACAGTTTTTATTGGAAATCAGCTACAGGGAGTGCAGCTGTACTTGTCAGCAAGCTTAGCAACTGACTGTTAAGTCCTTGTTTGACAGAAATTGGTATAACAAAGATCTGAGCAGTGTCTGAACTCACTCTCGACTAACTGCCAGTGGCAATGCAAGGTGACAAGTAGTGTTGCTCACTAGGGTGTTTACTGACTGTTATGTAGCGAGAAGTGACTGAGTGAAGGAGGGAGGGATTTTGGACAAAACCATGGGCATATTTTAGCGCTTTTTGCAAGCAGATCCAGCCCCAGTGCACTTTTTAAATGAAGTGGTGCAGGCGAAACTCCACACCTCATTAAAATCTTTTACTTAGCCACCCTGTCATATGAAAAAAAAAACAACAAAAAAAAAAACAAGGAAACTAGCAATTAGAGCGTAACATGACTATTGACTTTGAGTGGTATTTGTGTCTACCCAATTAATTTAGGTCCAATATTCACTCTTTTTTTTGTCTCTACCAAATCCTGAGTGAAATATTTTTGTTTAATGTTACACTATGTTTAGCCTCCGACTCTCTCTGTTTGCTGCTAAACAGGGAGTGTAGAGTGGCTATATTTTCACTGGAACAGCTGTCCGGTGCTACTGGAAATGAGGCTGAGTAGTAAGATTGTGGACAAGAACCCAAAACAACAAGCTACAAGATGGAAAAAGCTCTGTACAGCAGAGTGAAACTGAAGCGCTGGTTTTTCCTTGTTATTATGAGGGCCCCATTCACATTATAGTATATAAAGTTTATACAGCATAGGATATTAATTAGTGCAGCTTTAACGAGTGCAAATTATACTCCCCTGAAAAGGTTCTGAACAGTACTTTATCATATAAATGTTGTCTTACTTAATCAATTTAACTGAGATTATAACAAGTGACTCTCTGGTCACATCCGTCTCATAGCTCAGACATTTAAAACATCTGTTAATGGATTTCCACACTGGAGCATGAATAAGACTTAACCCAGCAAAACCTGGGGTTGTTTCCCTGTGTTCATCACTGTTCACTGTGCAAAAAACGTCGTATCACCGACCACAATGCTCAATCACAGTGTTACAAAATCTAGCAGTAATAAAGAACAGCTGCAAAACACAGACTTGCAGAAATGTAACATCTTCAGCGTTTGCCCACAGTAAACTCCCTGAAGTCTGTTTTACTTCAAAATGAATAAGTTAAGTACCCAATTTATCTCCAAGCCAGTATGAGCTTACAGTCGCAAGAAAAAGTAAGGGCACTGTTTGCAGTTTCTCGTGCCATTACTTTTTCTTGCGACCATGTTCACATACCATGCTTATAACACACTTGAGATTTGACAACACAGATTTCACAAGCCATGGGCTACAGCCCTCCAAACGATGCACCCACTCTCCATTCGAGTACCTGGATCTTGAATTAGTACTACCTCCTGTCGGGTGCCAAAACCTTGTCCCAGGAACTCGTTTTCAAAGTGGGCAAAGGACAGTGGAAACAAAACCAGAACCTGGGACAAGTGCTACAGATCCATTACGGGTCCTTCAGTTCCTACAATGAAAGAGGCCAATGTGAGCAAGATCTGAACATTTCTTTGGTGACTCCAAGTGGTAGGATCAAAAGGCACTTTAGCAGACAGCAGTGCACTACTGCAAAAAATGTATATAAAATATTCTTTTTTACACAACAGTCTTAATTAAAATACTCCTAAAAAAGTAGCCCAGAGTAAACAGTGTGTGTGTGCACAGTGTGCGTCTGTGTAATCATGGAGTTCAGAAGGTCAGTGTGGAGACAGTGCGGTCACATCTACAAAGAAGGAGAAAATAATTATAAATCCTAAATAGGACATTCAGTGAGATAAAGGATCAGTTCTCTATGGCAGCAAAGAACAAAAACAACACATCTGGAAGACTGATATGCGTCTACACCAAATCAATATTATCGCTATTATGCAATGATTAGCTATATTTTTATCCCATTTGGATGGAAATGTCACCATTAGTCATCTCATCATTTAAAAAACTTCAACAGTTGTGTACAGTCTGAATGCTCATATTCCCAATGAACTACTGCAAACAAAAAACTAAAGATCTTTTCCTTTAAGGAGTGGTTAGATGTCTGGTGACTTTACCTTTGAGCACTGGAGGGGGGCAGCTGGCCTTTATCAGATTACTCTCAGACAGAGCATTTGTTATCCAGGTGAGAGCGCTGCAGCAGTATTCCACCTGGGCGAGAGATACAATGAGTGCTGAGCAGGCAGAGAAACCAGACACACATACATGCACAGTAGAAATCCATTCAGTGTTCCCATTAACTCAATGATTGGTCACAGTACAACTAAGTAGCACCTGCTTTGTTAAAATAGGTAGGATTTTTATTTGATCTGGACATAACCAGATGGACAACCTGCCAAATATTCATTTGGGCTTAAGAGGAACTAACGCCTCTTACTGGGCCAGATGTTTCAAAGACTAGTATGTATAAAGAATTAATTTGTAAAACACTGCCAGATTCTCAAGCCTTAAAGAGTCTGGATTATGGATCTTGGCTGCAATATAACTGATAGCAACAGGTACAGATCAGGCTTATTAGGTATTGCATGTGTATTGCTGACCTCTGTCTCCAGCAGCCGCAACCTTCGGTCATGGTCCCGAATCTCTGCCATCTGCTTTAGCACACTGTCTACCCTGAAGAAACAAACAGACAGCTAATATGGTGACATAACAATACATTTATTAAATCTGCAATGGCTTTCTTTTATTGAAGATCTATTATGTATGAACTAATCACAAAAATGATAGAACTTGCTACTGTAACAGCAGTTTGTGACATCTTGCAATAACTAATGCATTACATGATCATGAGCATGCATTAGTTAAACATTAAATGTGTGCCCTTATCATAAAGCATTATCCTTTTAACATTATAAAGTCTTGAGACATTGTAATACTGTAGCAGTAATAGGGTCAACTTACTTGACAGATGTACGTTTAAGACGCGCTGTGTCAGTCTCCCTCTGATACTTATTCTGAGCCAAAAGGAGGATTTCTTTTTGGATTGCCTCCCATGCGCTGAGGCTGCTGGCCTTTATATCAGGTAGCTCTAGAACTGAGGACAGACAAGATTAGTAAGAGGACTGGAGCTAGGACAAGAAGAGGAAGCACACATGAATGCTTGTGAATGTGTGTGGAGAGCCTCCACCAGTTGGAAACCAGCCAGAACCCAGATGCTGTGGAGGCACAAAAAGCATTCCTGACAGATGCCCACACCACCTAGCTGGATCCTTTCAACATGAAGGGACAATGCTTCTGTTCTGATCTTCTATATATGACCCTATTGCTCCTTCCTTAAATCCAAATATATGACAGGACTGGGTACCAAGCAGTTGTGTCCCAGACAAAAGCAGGTTCAACACTTTACTGTTCCTAAGCTAAGAATTTCATTAGGCCTTGCAGTGTGCAGCTTTTAAATGTTGGATTCTTTTAAAGCATGCATCAAAACGGAGTGATGTGAAGTATTCCACAACAAAACTTTGCTAGTAGAACTGTGTAAATACAGATACCCTATGAAGGAAACTAGGGCCACATTCACATGACATGACGTGACTCAAATCTGACTTTACAAGGAAGTGTGAACAATTTTTTTTCATATCATATCTGGACCTATTCTATATGTGGTCTTAGATGTGAGTCAATATGAACCAAGTACAAAACATATTACTACAAACATCCATCCATCCATTTTCTATACCGCTTAGTCCCAAACGGGTCACGGGGGGCTGGAGCCAATCCCAGTCAGCTGCAGGCGAGAGGCGGGGTACACCCTGGACAGGTCACCAGATTACTACAAACACTCAAACCTAAAAAGCTCAAACCTTACTAGATAACTCAAAGATACCCACAGCTTCCCTGCGTCAACAAAACAGCACAGTCAGGGAGCAGGACATTGAACTGAAAACTTACACAATGGGACAAACAAGCAATGGGAACAAAGAAAATATGAAACCAAATACAGGATTGAGTGAAAACAGAGCTTATGCAACAAGGCTAAGCAGGAACAAAAATATGATAGGACAATGGCAACAAGGGAGACAAAAATAGGAGCAATGCAGGGTGCGTACACAGACAACCCAGCAACCAGACTGAAGGAGGTGAGGTGAATATAAAGGCTGAGCTGGGGAGAACATCAAACAACAGGTGAAAGTACTTAGAGGTTATCAGTGGCTGGAGTAAAGCTGGGGCAGGTGAGATAACAAAACACAAAAGTACAAAACAGACAGTCTCCAAGGATCATGACGCAACCCTGGTCATGAGGAAGGTTTTGAAGGAAGGCTGATGTATGTGGGCCCATCCAAATAGCCACCTAACCTGGGTTTGACCTGTGTCACTCTGAACAGAGAAAAGACAGCAGGACGAGGACACTCCTTGAAAACAGAATCACTGACAACTGAAGCCTTAACAGGGCCCCACGTCAAACTACCAATGTGACTTGCTACCAAGAATGTAGGGACAACTCTCTCATGATTATAAATGCACCAGATGATTTTGGACCACAGGACAGCTGTAGTTCTTCAATTAACCAAACATTCAATTAACTGTCTCTACCTTTTACCTTAAAAACCTTTGTTTGGTTTGTTTGTTTTGCTACTCCCTTTCCCCCCTAGCTTGTCTTTTCATGCTTTTCTTGCTGCTTCTCACCAAAGTGTTTTGTCTTGGCTGAAGGGATGCGGCAAATATATCTCTTGATCAAAAGGTGGACGTGTGAGATGAAGATGAAGGGCGGTGCCAGGCAGGGCCTTGAATGGTACTCCACAATCAGGTTGTAACGCTGAAACTTCCAGTAGATGTCACTTTGCTCCTGCACTTTGGAGAAGGTGTAGCTGTTGGTAGTAAATTGAAATCTCATTATGTACATACAGAGAGCTAAAATGCTTTCCTACACTGGGTTACGGTGCTTTACAATTTACAATACAATTTCTCCTCTCTTAAATCTGTTTAATCAGCAGAACATTGTTGGAATTTAAACAAAGTGCCACTGTACCTGAACATAGCAATGAGTAGGTTGAGCAGTACTATGTTGGTACCCAGCAGGAAGATGACAAGGAGAAGGATAACCAGCCAGTTGGCATAGATGTTCACACAGGGTTCCTCTCCTGCTTCAATTAGTGTGATGTTGTCTGTACAGCTCATGTCTCCCAGTTTATGAGCTAGATGGAAGACCACCAGAGGCCCAAAGCAACATGTGAGGATCACTACTGCACATTTACAAGCAACTTAAAGAGAAGCATTCTTTTCAAATGCGATTGTAAACAATAGCAGCTGCCAGCTGTTGCCAGTTTATTAGACATAATTAAATCTTATGTGATCCAATGCAGCAGCCATGAAACAAATCTTGCATATTTGTTTTTTGTGAGACTATCTGTGTTTATTCAGCACTGTGATGATGTTGTTGCTGTTATTTGTAGAGATGTTGGAGTATTAAATCATATTTACAAGCATTTCTCCAATTTTGCGCAGTCGTGAGTAAAATATTAGTAACATCTTTTAATTGAATTTTATACATTTAATACATGATACATCATAACAGGTTTTATTAAAATAGGATTTATGCCATCACACTGAATTCCATTATATTAAACTAAATATGCATAATAATCTGGCAACTGAGTGCGTAACTGAGTAAAATTAGGATTAAAATCTATTTGCTTTGATTGCATATGCAAAACATACATTGCTTACTGCTTCCATTTAGGTGCATGGAGTTCATAAATGAAATTTTACACAATAATTTTATTTTTGCACATTTTATATTATTTATCTTCAACAATCCTGCAATTTATATCCTATATACTTTAGGTATAGGATATGTCCTATATCCTATACCTAATTTTTTTTTTTTTTTATCTATTTCATACACTGAGGAAATCAAAAGCTGTTGTACTTGACAGAGACAGGTAGAGACAGCCTCTCACCATCCATTTCATGTGTTGCTATGTGCCCAAAAATTTGCAAGTATGGTCTGTAGAACACTCGGCGGAATATCCATAGAGGGCGGGGATCGTACTTGTAGAGGAGCGCCTGATTTGCCACTCCATAGGCCACAAGCCACACCACCAGAAAAAAGAGGAAGAGGAAAACATCCTTCAGCTGAGGGGAAGCAGAGAGAGAGAGAGAGAGAGAGAGCAGAGATAGTTGATGATGTAGGATCTGGCCTGATGTGAGGACAAGACTTTGTTATTTGATAACAAACAGCAGATATACTGTTTCGAGTTCAGACACCACATGATGCATTTAAATGGCATGTACAGTAACTGGAATTAAACACTAAAGAATATTTGTCAGTCAGTATTGTGTGTATGCCATAATTATTTGGTGCCAATGTCACAGATCTAATGACTACTCGAGATTATTGCACTAAGAGTGATGAAAAGACCGGACCACACTGTAGAACTTTAGAGGTAGTATTCCAGGAGGTGTTTGCACACAAAGTTACTATTCACATTACAGGCACTACCATCACCCATCATTACCAAGACATGGGTGCATCTCACAACTTTCTTTAGCTTTATATAGTACCAGTGATCTAGTTTATTTTCATATTTTTTAATGCTTTAAGAGAACACTGCTATAATATTAAACACAAGGAATGTGGATACAGAAGAAGAAATATGCATTGCCTGCAGAGAGACAAGTAAAAGCAAACATGGCAGACATTTTGGAGTCAAAATAGTTGGACAAAGACTAATACAACATAATAAAACAGACCCTCACTAAAGGTGCAGTGTTTATTAGGAATGCCCCAATCAGGTTTTTTTTTTTTTTTGGCCTCAATCCTGATCTGAGTCTTTTCATAGGCTACTGGGCGTCTGCTTATACCAAACCCAATCCAAAGTGTATTATAATATAAATATTGTTTAAACAAGTATCTGATGATACACAGCTACTTAATGTGACACTTCTTATTTTTCTAGCACTGCTTGATCCAAATATTGGTCCTGGTTCAAAAATATTGTTTAGAAGCTTAAATTATTGATGCCATATAAATAAATTATTGATCGATATGATGAAATCCACTCAGTGCTAGTGAATTTAGAACTCACCCCCACACATACAGTAGAGGTTCTTATTAGATTTTGAGCAGTTTATTTGTAGCCAAAACGGATCCATTAAAATATACCTAGATCAGCCAATAAGATTGTCTCAGGGCATCTCAAATGTACATTACACCATACTATAGTTAATTTATACTGGAACAACTCTATTTCCTAGGAAAAAGTGTTCAGGTATTTGCAAGAATATCCTTAAGGCACAATACCTTTCGGCTAACAACTCTGTTTTATGACTGATGTTTCTGTTTCACATTGCTTTTTTAATTTATTTATTTTACCCACAGATTGTTTTGTGTGTTCTCACCATTCTGCGAACAATGATCATCTTGGGCCCAAGCTGTCTGTGGACAGCAAAGATATGGATGAGACGTAGTGTGAAGACCAGAAAATCTATGGCCATCACGGCTCTGCCAAACTCATATGACCAGGGAAACATTCTGGAAAACAAAACAGTGCAGCATCAGCAGCGATGTCTTGTGGCCTCAGAGCTGCCTTGGTACTCTTTAGTACCATGGTTTGTGCAAATCCTCCTGTCAGTGTGTCAGAGTCACCTGCAGCACAGACCCAAAGTGAAGAGAGAGATGGCTGTGAGGTCAAACTTGTTCCAGTCGTCCTGGATGTAGTTCCTTATCCTCTGCATAAAGGTGGTGCCCACAAAGAAGGTCTATGAACAGAAGAGACAGGAGTCAAGATACTTTATGTGGATGGACAATGTTATCTGTGCAGTATATACAGCAGCGTGCGTCTGTATCAGTGAGAAATTAGGTGATGTGGTAATCAGTTAGCATCCAGACTGAAAACTGTGTTATATTGGTGTTGGTGGTGGGTACAGAGACAAAAGTAAATACTATGCAGTTTGATTAACAGGTCCATTAGTTTGAAGGCTTATCAGGCACCAGAAATGCTGCAGACTGGTTTATAACCATGCAACAAATTTTACAACTCTGGAAAGTTATCACAGCATAAAGTTATCCTCAGGTAAACAGTAAAATTATGCCCCAGTAAGGCCCCACCCCAAAAAAGGATTTCCAAAATATATTTAAATAAATATATTTGCAAAAACAAATAACTGACTCATAGAATGAAAACAGCTTATGGGAGCAATGCTCTAATTTAGAGTCTGTTAGTAGAACACAAAATAAAGTGATGGCACAGCAATTTCAGTTTCTGGACACACTGCATCATTTTTTCTTGCCTGTGCTACTTTGCAGGACAAAGTGGAAGATTGTCTGAACTGCCTCAAAACTCCAACCATTTTGTGATTTTCTTTGTTTCCCTAACTGATGTTGCCAAGGCATTAATTGCCTGCTGACTAACAGCTAGTACTTGCTGCTATTTATGATTCTGCCTGTTGCTGACTGTACACCTGGCTGTGAAGATAAAATGTGCAATAATGCTCTTTGCTCTTTCTTACACTTAAACTTTGCTTTTAAAAATCTTCCAGCTTAGGTTGCATATGTGTAACATACTTCTACAGTAGACTGGATCACTTAATAAGTGCCAATATGTGCATGCATGCTGATGCCTTAACAACTAACCTGGCGAATCTCTTCACAGGCTAAGGTGAAAACCCAAAAGTAAAGCACAAACTCCATGCTGGAGGGACCTTGAGGGGGCGGGGGCTTGAAGTTTACCAACAGAACATAGGCAAACAGGCAGAGGAAGAGGAAGTACATCAGCACATTGCCAAGGAATGAGGTGACAGGGGCGAACCAGAACTCCCTCCACCGTGACCTAATAAAGTGTCTCTTCTTGTTGGATGGCAAAGAGCCTGAAGTAAAAGAGTGAAAACAAAAAGGGTTTAAATACACCAACAACCAGTTGTACAAAATATATTACTATGTACACTCAGTGACCACAATTTTAGTTACACATGCTTTATAAAGAAAATACAAATATTCCCTTGCACCCAAAAGGGACCCATGGTGCAAAATAATCTACCATGACACACAGCCAATTTTTCTTAAGCAACTCTAGAGAGCACTTCCTTCTCTAATTAGCATTATTCCTGAAGAGTGAAGATGTTTACAAGGAAGACGGCACCAATCTGGAAAAGCTTTTTTACAACCAGCATGGGCCTGACTGTTTACAATGGCACACTAGCACAACAAACAGTAATAGAGCCACTGCAACACACATCTCCATGACACACATCTCAGCCCTGTCCTGAAAACAGGAATTCCTACACACTGTGCAAGACAAAACAATAAAGATCCCATGATCCACTGTGTCAAAGGCAGCAGTGAGATCTAGAAATACCAGCAGAATGAGGTCCCCAGCACCTGGAGCAAAAAAAAAAAAAAAAAATTACTAATTTCTAACAGTGCTGATTCAGTACTGTGTCTTGGTTTAAAACCAGACTGAAAATTTTCAGACATGAGGTTACATGGCCTCACAGCAAGAAGGTTTTGGGTTTGATCCCCAGTTGACCCGATGCCTTTCTGTGTAGAGTTTGCATGTTTTTCCTGTGCCTGCATGGGTTCTCTCCAGGTACTCTGGCTTCTTCCCACAGTCCAAAGACATGCAGCTTAGGTTGACTGGAAATTAAATTGCCCCTAGGACTGAGTGTGGGTGTGTATAATTTGTCTCTTAAGTGTCAGCCCTGCAATAGACTGGTGACCCTGGACAGATGAATGAATGATGTCACAAGGATTTGTGGAGAAGGTGAGGAACAAGCTTTTAAACAGGTAAAAGTCATGCTGACCACTGCACCACGTTTGCTCACAGTGGTTAGTGCTGATACAAGCAACTATGACCTGGGAACAGCTCTGTACCAGCTGCACAGAGGTGGACTCCAGCCAATTGCTTCCTGCTCATGAATGTCAACTGAAACAGATCAACACTGCTGATGATTGGTTGATACAGTAGATCAGATGCTGAAGCTATTTATATCCCAGTAAAGTGACTTGTTGTTGCCATCACCTTGTCTCACAACCCTCTGCAGGACAATGGTGCATGTGACACAGAACATGATATTAATGTCCAGGCAGTGATAGCCACAAGGCCAATAATGACAGACAGACTATCAGAGAAGCTACTAGCCACCTCCAAATGGTCTCACACTATATTAGCACATAAACAGGTGTAAAAGCCAGCAGAGTTATCACAAATACCACACCCACTGCAAAAATTTCATGCAGCCAAGGCTCACTTATCAGAAGCTGATGGGCTCCCCTCTAACAGTGGAAATAAGTACTCTCACAGATACATGAAGGTCAACAGGGCCTTACTAAATGTCGTGGGAGAGCCAGCATGTCAGTTTGGGATTGCATGTGAGATCACAGAGATGGTTAAAATATGTAGGTTCTGCCTAAGTCTTCACTACCCCCAAGCCAACTGTGCAGCGGAGAGGAGTGTAGCCACAGCAAAATGAATCCTTCATCAGCTACAGTGCGTCCAGCTCAGCTGAAGATTGGTTGATACAGTAGATCAGAACAACAGTCTCCACTCAACCTAACGCAGCTGAAACCCAGTCCCACTGACTACAGTGCTGTCAGGCTAAACAGTATTCTGACCAGGCCGATATCTTCTTCTACAGCTGACACCCCTCAAGCACAGCTCTTATCTGAACTTCAGCCAGGTCAGAGTGTTAGTGCTAACAAGTACTGTTTGTGTATTCTTTCCATTCATCAACATGACAAATGCAGTTTATTCCTCTAAGTTCATCAGAATGGAAACGCAAAATACAAAGACCTGCATTACTGAGATTGCACAACATCTACCTGACATGGAGCTACTCCTGAACATGCTGTCATGTTTATATTGTACTGAAGGTAGGGGACAGGAGAGACACCTAAGATAGTAGTCACTGAGTGAAATTATCAATAGCAAAATAATGATTCAAACCCACCTTTCACGCTTTGTTTTAAAGTCCTGGACTCTTCAGCTTCTTCGTCACTGCAACATTAAACAAGGAACAAGGAACTTATATTAAAACTGAAAAAGAAAACCATCATACACTGAAAAAAAAGATTTGTTGGATTTACTTGATTGTAATGTGTACATCGGTCCCACACAATGATAATGTGTAAAACCAACATAATTTTCTTTATGTTAACAGAGAAAACATGAATGAATTGCGTTGCATATACTAGCATAATTTGTGTAAATCCAAAGACCCGGTGAGTCCTTTTTTTTCAGTGTACAACCCTAATTTATGTTTGTATACTTGTATTTACCTGTGTATAATGTCAGAAAGGTGGAAGTCATTGGCATCATTCCCATCCAGACTCTCAGTGTCTTTGCGTTGCCTCCCCACAGACTTAATCTCCTCCTCTTGTTCTCTGTAACAAGAACACACACATTCTGTTTACACTGCAGACATTTCTTGAATTCTCTTGAATTGGGACAATCAAATCAATTGTTGTAAAGTAACTGCATAGCAAATATGTATAAGGTAGCACTATTTGCTACCTTATGAGTGATTTCAAACACAAACTAAGGGCTTTATTTTCCTACCAGTGCAAAACAGGCGTAGTTTAAAATGCAGTCTTTAGGCAGTTTTCTTTGGGTGCAAATCTTTCTTTGCTTTAAGATTTCAGAATTTAAATAAAAATTACTTGACTTGAATAATTAGTTTAGTTTATAATATGCTTCTATAGAAAAAGTGAGTAGAAATTTTAAGATTTCACTAACACATTCACACAATGCATCGATTACAAATGAGCTCTAAAGCAATGTGAATGGAAAGGCATTGCTAACCCACCATCACAAGCAAAAATACACAAAAATAGCACCACATTGACCTGAAGCTGATCAAATCTGTGTAGACGAGGGGGGGCAGGAAGAAGGTGAGAACCAGTTTCCAGACTTTAGTATTCATCTTCATGTCACCCCACCAGATCTGAGACAGCAGAGCCTGCAGCAGAGAGGAGCACTGTCATAACAACTCCCAACCGACATCACACTCAATGGTGACATTTATTTACACTGGCAGCATTAATATAACTTTTTCATTCCCACCTCTGATATTTAAAAACTTTTTTTTCCATAGAATTCTGTTGAGCATGGCATTTTTAGCCAGTCTGTTAAATGCTACTGTTGGCAGGAGAACAGCATCTCTACCTGAACACCATTATGGCTGAAGAAGAGGAGGGCATCAGCTGCAGTGGCCATCTGCAGACACGTAGCTCCGCCCCACACTTTAGACTTCCTGATAAGGACAGTGAAGGAGCGAGGCTCACTGTTCTCGTGACACCCACTGAACACATCTGAACAAACACACGAAATTATATTATTTGTTCTTATTCATAATGGTTAAAGATAAATATGGCTTTTCAAGGTTGCAAGGTAGCATAGATAAGTATAACAGGGTATCAGTTGTGTAACAGTGGAAATGTATGCAGTGTTTTCTATTTTCTAAGAGAGGCATGTATAAAGTAAAAGAGTTAGACCTAGCACAAAACCCTGTGGAACTCCATGGCTAAATATAGTGCGCATGAAAGATTCATTTTAACATGAAACAATCAATCAATTAGTCATAATTTTTGTTGCCATGTATGTTAATAAAACAAGGGATTTGACTCTGGTACAATGGCCCCCAGTGTGCACTAAACAAAACAGAATAAAAACAGGATAAAAGACAGAATAACAAGTGAAAAACAAGAAGAAGAAAAAATACAACTCACTGATAAATATAGGTATATACTGTGGTGTTCACTGTATCATATAAACATGAATTAACTGTTCATCAGTGTGATGTGTGGAGAAAGGAAATGTCCTTGTGTCTGGTTGTTTTGGCGTAGAGTGACATGTAGCCCTGTCCAGAGGGGAGAAGTTCAAATAGTTTTGTGTCCAGGGTGTAGGGGGTTTGCAGAAATCTCTGCCCTCCTTTAGTCAAAAGGAGGTGTACAGGTCCTCCATGGAGGCCAGGCTGGTACTGATGATCTTTTCTGCAGTCCTGACTGTCTGCTGGAGTCTGTTCCTGTTTGGTTGCTGAACCAAACCAGACAGTGATGGATGAGCAAAGAACAGACTCAATAATTCCTCTGTAGAACTGTGTGAGCAGCTCCTGGGAAAGGTTGAACCTAATAAGCTGGCACAGGAAGTACATAGTCTGCTGTGCCTTCTTGGTGATGGTGTTGATGTTGGTCATTCACTTGGAATCAATCTGATAAATAAAATTTAAACCAACCCAGTGCAGTTCTTTTAAACCCAGTGACATGTTACACATTTTATAATAAAATTTTGTAATCACTTGGTAATCACAAAGGCAGCACTAAGATCTTGCAAGAAAATATAGAGAGGGGTCAACTGTCTGAGGCTAGAAGATGTGAATGATGTGATTCTCACCAGTGCAGTTTCTGTACTATGATGGACTCTAAAACCTGACTAAAAATCTTCAAACAAATCATTATTGTGCATTGCAACAGCTTTTTCAAGGATTTTAGAATTAAAAGGGAGATCTTTTGATCTATAAATTGGCTGAAACTGCTACTCTTCAACTGAAAAACATTCTTTTCAGTATAAATAAAACACAGAAAACAAACCAAACAAACAAAAACAAGACCAGAAAAAATTTGCAACAGCAATATACCACAATCAGTACTTCCAAACTTGGCATAACCACCAAAGGATTTGTCATCATAGACATAAAGATACACTTATTCATGCATATTCAGCCATGTGTGATCAAATCCTTTAAAGGATGGGGTATATGTGTCATCAGTATGTGCATAGTTATGTGTTCAGGGAGGCCATTTTAATTTGAAGCTGAGAGTGTAGAAATAAGTATGAGTACTGAGATGTGGTGAGTTATAACTTCAGCTCTGCTTACAGCTGATGGACAATGCCTAACTGTACAGTAGGAGCATATACAGTAGCTGTGAACTCAGCTTGAGTCCACATACATAGAGAACAGAGCAGCTTGTGGAGTGACTCACCGTGTGCAAGGTTCTCAAACTTCAGTGCCAGTTCCTTCATGGCTCTCTTGTTCTCATTGTCAGTGTCATGCTTAGAAAGCTCCCTCAGTATTTTACAGGCAACCAGAGCACTCAGCACTGACTCCCCTACCTGACAAGCAATCACACAAACACAAGCTGCTAATAAAAGCTGGTTCAAATAAAACCAAATTAGAGAGCAACTTTGAAAAATGGCAGTTTTTAGGGTTGCAGCGGCATACAGCTTTTAAGTTATAGCAAGGTATGAAAATTGATGGCTATCATAACATGCATATTTGCTTATTACCAGTATTGCAGAAAAAATGCAACGGGTGTGCACCTTTCCTCCCCCCACTGCGTATCAGGCAATGGATGCCACACACACATGCAGCAGACTAATGGCTAAAGAGAGTGATTTGCATACTCTGGTTGAGATTCACGAGGAGAGGACAGCCCTCTCCCATGAGCAGATGTTCGTATTGAAGCTTCTGTCTGCCAAGTATGCCAGAGGTTGTCACAAATTTGAAAGTGGATGTCACTGAATGTTGAGTTTTTCTGGAATGTTTAAAACCCTTTACAAAATTCAGAGGTGTAAAAGCAGAGAAAATGTCACTGTATTGTAACTGTAATGTCTCCCTTAACTGTCGAATCAGAAGCCAACTTCAACATCGTACAGCTTCCCTGAGTTCAACAGCAGCCTCGATGCAGACAGCGGCTCAGGGGAGAGGGCGATCCTCTCCCCATGGAGCTCTACCAGAATATGCAAATCACACTCTCTTATCCCTGCCCCTCAAAGTCCTGCCAAAACAGTGACAGAGAAGCAAAACTGAAAGAACAAACTTTGGCATCACTGAAAAACACTGACATGAACAAAAAAAATCAGAAGATTGTCATTTTTCCAGTTTTAATGCCAATGTTTTTTCTTTTTGAAACAAATGCATCAGTGCCAGTGTTTGCTTTTACAGTTATGGTTTTGTTTTGGTAATGGTAAGCTTTATTTTTCAAGCAATCTGGCACAATATAAAATCACCAAACTCCATCCATCAAAAAATACATTTCAATCATCAGGATTACTCTGGATATCTCAAAAACGCACTTCACCTGCGAGAACACCATCTCTCCGTACAGGTCAAAGTATGTGTCCTGTTTATAACTTTAATCCCAAATGTAGGTTATAAAATTGGCTATCAAAATAATTTTCCACATTGTCTGTTCATTTGCTAATCTCTGAAGCACAAAAGAACTCGCACTGATCCCGATCTGACCCCAGAAACACACACAAACCCTCCTGGCTCACATAAAAGAGTGTGTGTGTGTGTGTGTGTGTGTGTTTGTGTGTGTGAAGGCACAGACTGTTTCTCAGAGCACCTTAAAGTATCATCACCTGAAAATAGTCAAGTTTAAACTGTATACTAGCCTCGAAAGTGCCATTTGAACAAAGACAGCGCCTAAACTCTCTGAAATAAAATGTTTTCACTGAGATTGTAAAAATTTACAGGTGAGACTCACCATCTCCCAGAAGTAAATAGCCATCTCCATGCGGTTCTGCAGGAGAGCCCAGATGAAGAGGGCTGGCCAGGCTGTTTCGCAGTGCTGGTCCCGGTAAGTGCACTCCTTCGACAGCATCTTATTGACATGCTGAAGAGACAATAGTTATGAGTGAGGGACTGTCTCTTTTACAACCATCTATTATCACATGGACATGAGTATCCTGGTTATGATCAGGTTTTTGAAGCATACTGTTTTTATATTTGTGCATATTCATAATCAGATTTCTCTGTGTTCCATGTAAATACTATATGCCAAATATGATAAAAACCAGGATACTCATGTTCACATAAAAGCACTCACTTTCTCACTCACAGTGGACATAAAAATTTTATCAAAGCAAAATGTATATATATAGCACTTTAAAAACAATGACATGTTGAGCAACGAGACCTAGAGACCTATAACAGGAAATGGTTCACTGATCTAACAGCGCTCGGGTGCCTATGCCACTGCACAAGTTCAGTGAAGTATTCTGGGGACATGCCATTTAATTTTAAAATGACTACACAAATCCCTCCTCCCTTTGGGCAGACCAAAATTTGAACCCAAAGTGTTTGTTCATCTGCATCTCTCATCTACAAGCTAGGCCCAGCTCTGGCCCAGAAAGGGACCCTGAACCATGAGCTTCTCCCTACTTTGGCCAGGTGCAGATCCAGCTCTGCTAACAGATAAGTGACCTCGTGGTTAAGCTGATGTCTCATAAACTTTAGTCGCTCCTAAGTTAAAGCCCTGACATTCTGGCAGTGAAAACAAAAGACAATGGCTGACATTCCTTATACATGGTTAAAGTAACTTACAGAAACTTAGTTATTTTTCCCTGCGAATTATCATTTAAAGCATAAGATTTAGATCCAAATTTAAATTTAACCAATTTTGGACCATGGCTGACTAATAGCTTGTTCATTCATTCATTCCCAAATCCATTCATCCGTTTTGTTACGCTGTACTATTTCATGCATTTTACATCGCGCTTACATTCTCCCTTCTTGTACATATGTAAATAAATCAATTTAGCTTATAGCTGGCTATTTCTCATGTCATTTTTCTCTTTTATTTATGGGAATACGCTAGAGCTGTCTATTAATCTTACTTTTTTCTAACTCCACACCTCCAGATTATTTTTACTTTTCACATATACAGTAGTCATATCTGCTTTATATTGTTTGTGAAGCACTTTTTGCTTTGAAATGTGTTATATAAAAGTAATTCTTTACTTACTTCTGGAAGACGTGTAAATTGATTTTCATGTGTAAAATAGGTGGATTTCCCCACTCACTGACCTCGACAGCTTTCCTGGTTCTGGTCCTGTTGTGTAAGCCCAAAGGTTTATAATAGAAAGGGTGACAGACATCATCCAACAGGTGAGACAGCAGGCGGGATACCTGCAACATCAACACTCACGCCATTACTGCTGCATATAGAGCAAGGATGCTTTCATGTAATGATATAAAGCAGACAAACAAAAGCAAAAGAAGACTGAGTGAAGTGAAACTAAAACAGCAACAAATAATGCTCAGCCTGACTTTGTTGCTAGTTCATGACATCTCAAATCTCTTGGCAATTTGGTTTCTGAAAAGTGATAAGTGACAAGTTTAAAATCACCTGCAGATAGTTGGCTGATAAATTAAAAATCTGAATAAAGTAGTGTAGAAACTTAACTTCAATGGTTTAAGGAATATGACAAAGATGGCACTGAATTAACTCGTATTTGAAACACACTCAAGACTCACATAAATATACTGCTGACTTGACTCACAACTCACCTATAATTGACCTAAGACTTGATTCGGACTCATGAATAATGATTTTTGATACCAAGGATCTGCCTACTACTGAGGTCTGTACCACAAAGTAAGTTCACATACAGTAAGTCTGGTTCTTTTGGGGTTATTTAGCTTCACTAAGCCAGAGTGGATTTAGAAGGAAAGTGGCAACATCTCCACTAAAGACAGTTTTTCTACAATAATGGTGGGATCATGGGAATGTTGAATAGTTCCAAAGATTCGGAGCAGTGCCATAGAGTTACACTGACTTAGCTGCTGTCTTCTAAAGTAAGAACTTGAAATTAATAACAATAATTATACTTGTGACATTTTAAATTAGTGAGGTGTCAAAACACTTATGCAGTACACGGTTTTCAGTTTTTTCTGACTGTCTCTCTTAAAAATGTTCAAGTCATTAAAAGCAGTCATTTACTGATGAATCCCGCTGTTCCCTACAGAAAACAATGAATCTGAATTGACTGTTTGGAACTATTTGAAGCATGAGTCATGTCACAGTGTACCGTTTTTGAACCCTCAGTGTCATAGTTCTTCTACCGTAATGGCTGTGCACTGAGCAAAACCTTCAGCATCACAAAATGTCTGAGCTGAGCACAAAGTTAGCCGGATAAGACACTAACCTCACTTCATGGTACAGGCCCCTGGGGTGAAACAAGTTCAACTTAGTCTGGCTCTTTTGGGGTTATCTGGTTTCACTGAGCCTAGCATTTGTTTTTCCAGATCACTGGTACTATGAAGCCTGTTATCCATTGCTTCTGTTAAATCTGGGTTTTCCTATCAGTCTATGAGTGTGTTCATGTAAAAGAGGCAGAGGTGTTAATTAAAAGCAATGTCACCAGAAGTGACGTGGCTTATCCAGTTATTTTATGCTCACTTTATGTATTGTGGTGATAGGTACCTTGCTACCCTTTTTGCCACCCCCTCCTCACCTCAAATAGACTGAGCTTCATAACTGATTCAGGTCCCGTTAGTGCATTTGGGGAACTCGTCAGAGGTTCTGCCACAGCCCCATCCAGGCTGGACAGGGATCCAGCCCGGCTTTGCCTCTCGGTCAGATACCTCTGGAGTAAAATGTAGGCTGCTGAGCTGTCTGACAGCGAGCAGTACAAGTGTTCCAAGCGCCGGTATGTCAGGTAGTCCAGGATATTCAGACCATTCTCACAAAAGAGACGCACAAATTGGGGCTTGTCATTGATCAGTGCATCTGTCATGGCGTCTTCAAGGTCCTCATACTGAAAATATACATCATAAATAAGTGCAGTGGTCAAAAAAACACTTATATCCCTTACTTAAGTAAAAGTAGAAATACCACAGTGTAAAAATACTCAGTCATTAGTAGTCCTGCATTCAAAGTGTTACTTAAGTCACATTCCACTTTAATGTAATGTATTGTGTTTGCAGCATGCAGGCATACATTTCTGACCACATTCTGCCCTGCAAAAAATGAAATCTAAGTATTAAATCGGGATAATAGATACTTTTGTTTTGTTTTTTTTTATTCTTCTAACCAGGCAGTTTTTATGTTGGAACATTTCTCTTGTTTTAAGCTCCTTTTTAATTAATAATTGTAATAAGATATTATAACTTGCTACTGAAATGTTAATACTGGTTGTGAGTTTTTTAATGCCTGAAATTTGAATTACCAGAATTATGAAGCAGTTTGATCAGCACTGACAAATATAAAAATGCTTTATATCAGAGTAATGTACTTGTTTTTAGTCTAGCTGCATTAATTCTAAGATATCTTGCGACTAGTTATTTTTACTTGCTTCTAAAAATCTTAGCTAGTGAAAAATTCCCTTTTCTTGTTTCCTTTTGGCAGATCATTTTTCTTATTTCCAAATGTTTTTGAGAGCTGAGTTTTTGTAGCATAATTCATACAATCCCAAATCAGAAAAGGTTGGGACAGGTTGTAAAATCAGAATTAAAATTGAAAATAGTGATGTGTAAATGATCTGTGATATGTATAACATTGGGAACAATACAGTAGCACATAATTTTATTCTTTGTTAAAAATAAACACTCACTTGAATTATTATGCCTGCAACACATTTCAAAAAATGTTGGGAAAGTAAAGCATTTACCACCAAGACATTTGGGGACTGAGGACACCAAGTGATTAAGTATGTCAGGTGTAATTTTGTCCCATTCTTCCTGCAAACAAGTCTTAAGGTGCAGGTCGGGGCAACATCAGGTAACATCTGTAATTATTTGAATTTGTATTATAAGAGAATTACAACAGTCTTACACAACAAAGATAGTTTGCTTGTCTTGAGAGAGTGCCTGAGAAATCTGAAAGGTGTGGCTCTATATCAGACAGGAGGCATCTGATGAAAGATGCTATGCAGCATGTCTCTGCTCTGTTTTTGTCTTCAAATCTTATACAAGTGCAACACTGAACTGTTTAAGTACAGTACATGAGCTTTCATACACCACAACTTTCAAACATAACTTTATATTCTTAGCTCTTACTGATGAGGCCCAAAAAGCAGCAAGTCATCAATGTAAACTTTTAGTCTTCTCCTGGTACACTGTGATAGCCCCAAGCCAGGTGTATAGTTATATAGCAGAAACTGTCATTCAGTTTGACTCTGACCTTCCACTTTACGTCTCCATTGAAGAGCTCAGTTTTGGCAATGTCTACACGGTTCCAGGCCACGGCCAGTTTCAGCTCATCAATGTACTCCCTGGCATCATTCGAGACACGTTTACAAGCTCAACACACAAACACACAGAGAAAGAAAAATTTACATGTGCTGTACAATAAGGGAAACTGGATCAGAGGAAGTGATTCACTCAGAATAAAGCACATGGATGATGAAAAGTCATCAAAACAGCCGTTTTGTAGTCCAGTAGAATTACAAATAATGGGTGACTTTAATGCATATTTATCTTTAAAAACACAGCAACAGCATTGAAAGAGTCTGAGCTTAGCAAAACACTGTCACATTTTATTCAGAATAGTCCGCTCATTTGTTTGTTTGGCAGACATGGATTTCTTTGATGAATGATAAAGTGCTGGAATCCTGCTGTTTGTCACATTGATTTATTTATTCAGCTGCAAGCTAATTGGGACAAATGTTTAAATGTTCAAGTCTTTTAAGCTGCATTATAATCATCCTTACTCAGAAATATTCGTATAATCGCTAATCTGATCAATAATCATTATAGAAATGTTCCATCAGTGCAACCAGTAACAACAAAAGAAATGATTAGGCCTATTCATAGGTCAGTCTCACATTCCTAAAGTGTCACACAGGTTTTTTATTGACAGTGATCACAGTAATGTACAGTAGAGGTTTTAGTGTAGGGGAACTGACTGACAACCTGGCATTTGTCTTCATGTTCACAGAGACATGACATGAGAGATGGACAGTGTATAGATTTTATTCTGAGTTGGTGACGAATCCACACGGTGTAATAGACTACCCATATTTAAATGATAAACCAAGGCAGCCATCTGGAACATCAGCTCACACACACACTGATGGCGGCATTGTCCATTGGGAGCAACTTAGGGTTCAGTGATTTACCCAAGGACACTTCAGCATGTGGACTGTGGAAAACAGGAATCGAACAGCTGATCTACCAGTTGAGGTACAACCGCTCTATTTCCTGAGCCACAGCCACCTAATGAGAGGAAAGATTGCCGTCTTTACACTGACTGATTGATCATAAAAGTGATCAAGTCAGTAAGGATAAGTTCTGGGTAATGAACAACTGGGAAACTAACCAGGATTTGTATCTTCTTCTACTGTTTTAAACTTCAAAAAAATTTAAATGTTCTAACCCGTCAGCGTCCAGGTTAGACTCACAGAGTAAGTTACCACAGTAACTGACTCAGAGTTAAAGTGATCTCTGTTTCTGGAAATGAAAACCCATAGTTACCCTAAATTCAGGGTGAACAAACTGTGTTTTCACTGAACCCACTTTCTGGAATACCCCACTGATTTCACATTTTGGCTAAATATTTTTACTGAACAAGCTCAGAACTACACTGAGCAAAGAAATCACCATATAGAAGTCGATGTCCGATCGTGGGTATGGGCACCTGTGGTTCTTGTTCTATCTCTGACAGAGGTTTGCAGTTACTGCTGCTAACTACGTGTCCTTCTGATCCCCTGTATTATGGTCCTATTCTGTTCGACTTTTCTACAATTCCTCTTGGTCAGTCTTTAAAGTTAAAGGCCTTTCCTATCATATAAACTAAATTTTAAAAAGAAGGATCCTAAATGGTGACTTTCCAGTGTGTTACTTTTAAATTTTTATTTAGCATTTTTGGTTGTTTTGTGTGTCATAACACTCAGTGTCATTCTGCTCTTTAAATGTACAATACAATATGCAGTAAATAAACTTATTTACTTACTTACCTGTCACAAGGGTCCTGAGGATGACTGTATCAAAATCATCAGAACCCTCCTGCTCCCCGTGGAAGACAGTGATGAGCTCTTTGCTCTGATAAATACTTAGAACCTAGAAACAAAGATGTAATGAAAGAAAATAATCAAAAACTAAGCATTCCATACTGGGAGGGAGTGGGCACAAAAAAATCCCCCAAATAATATTTTTTCGATAGGTAATGAGTCCGAAAAGAGCATTGCTACAAAATGTCAAATTTCCATATGACTAAATAAAGTTATTATAGTTTAGGAACAACCACCATGCCTTGTTCTAATCCAGTTTCCTGTGCCTATCTGTAGTTGTGTCATAAACCCTTTTCTCCCATGTGTCTCAGTCAGTGCTTGAAGTGGGGCAGAATGCACCAGTACATCATACCAGCACTTCTACATTTTACTCCTTCATGTACCGTGACTTTTTCTTGCCTACAAGCACTTCTCACAAGCTGCCGGTACTCTTTTCTGCCCTCTCTATTCGCTCATTTGAGATGCACTGCCTGTCACCTGGACTGCAGATGATGGGAGCAGGGGTCGGTGACAAAAAAGCTGCAGTCAATTAGGACAGTTTAAGAGCTTTCTGCCAGCAACAGTGTGGGAACCAAAAGGCCTGAGCTCCCCCAGGAGCAACAACAAATGTTTTAAGGTTTACTTGTGCAATTAAGGCTGCAGTTTATTTTGAACTGTGTACTTTGAACAGAGGCAATGTTCGTGCCCTGAAGATGCATCTAATACAATATCACTCACACTTTAAAGACCCCTACATTGGATCATACCATTTCCACTACCTAACGTGAGCTATTTGACTTTACCTGCTGTCAATAATAAATAAATAAATATTATGATATTATTACTAGTATTTTTATACTGTGTAAATTTTATTTAACCCTCAACCCATAAAAGGGATAAGAGGAGTACTGAAATTTTTTTGACTTCAAGCACTGGTTTCAGTTGTCAACTATACCAGCACATCCTTGGCAGCTGCAGACTACCACTGCAACACCGATCACTTTGCTACTCTACAAACACAGAAACACACATGTGTGCTGACTCACTCTGTCCACTAGTTTCTCAAATTCAGCTTCATCTGGGAAGTGTTTCTTGATCTTGTCACAGATCCTGTCACGTTGCTCTGGGCTGTGACCCTGTACAGCCTCCACCTCTGGTGTAGCAGAGGTGGAATTATGGGAAGGGTCCAGCAGCTCACTGATGAGGTCTGCAGCTGGACCAGAGCCAGCAACAACCAGCCAGGGAAGAGCTTTCTTCAGAGATGCATCAATTCTCTACGCCAGAAAATATGTACACAAAATAAATGACAGGACATTTTCATTTGCTGTATTTAATCAGAGGGTCTCAGTGAGATGAACATCTGTCTTTTAACAAAGCTGTGAACTAAAAATTATCCACATAGCTGATGAAGCATAAAAACCTGTGACACACAGAAGCTTCCCTGGGCACTTTGTTTTAAAGTCTCCATGACATGCTCATTTTGCTTGTTTCCAGGCATTTAATGTTTAATCTTGGGTACCTCTAGATTAGCGTTGCACCCCTTATAACTTCAAAGAGTCTATAATTTTTTCAAAATAATAAAATCAAAGAGCCTCTTCCTAAAAACAAGAGGATAGTTCATGAATACGCACAACTCATTTTCCTGGTGTTGTGTTGCAAGTGGACAGTACAACGAACCGTGTCAGCATTAATTAATTGGAATTTCATCTCCATAGACTGGTAAACAACAGTATATGTACTGATGAAAGGAGATGTGTAACACTCTAAACAAAGCAGGTAATTGAGAAACCCCATGCTTTAACAGGAAAAAAAAAGCAGATGTAGTAATTTCTCCAGCCTTACAACAATTCTCTCTAACGTTAAAAAAACAACACATTAACAGACATGCTATGTGCGTTTTTTCCCACTGAGTAGTGGAAACATCACTCCCTTTAAAGTAGGTCCAGGGTTGGTAAATCCAACCAGTGGTCTTTGTGTCTTCCCCCACATGACCCCGTACATTCCCAAAGTAGTGAAATGAATTCCAACAGGTAGCGTAGGGCTGACTATAATATTATGGATTGTTAATCCGCTCATTAACCAGCAACACATCACATGAGGCAGACACACTAGCATCAAGCAGTCAAAACAAACAGTTACTGTGCTCCGGGGGAATCCAGCAATGATGAGCTGATCACTAACCGCTGCAGTGGCTTAACTACACGGCTGCTTGTAGGCTAGACCCGGTCAGGTAAAACAACAAGTCCCTGTACAGGAACATTCCCAGACATGCAGTAACCTCAGGCCCTGTATTTTCCTCCACATCCTCTGGTCACAGTGCAGCAGCAGGAGGTAAAACATATCCAAAAAACCAGGCACAGTTGAAAAATTCCGCTTTTACAATGGCACCAATGGCTGTCCTTTTTTATTTTTATTTATTTATTTACTAAATTTTTTTTGAAAACATACATAACGAACAAGGCAACATAACATTTTGCCAGTATAGTGGGGCCACCGGTGGATGTCAGGCAAATTTACATGAACGCGCAATGGCCTGTATTTAATGCCCATTCAAGGAAATCCTTAAACTATCATGTAATACTTCACTTAGGTAGAAAAAAGTCTCGCAAGCAAGAATTTACAAGATGTGTATAAACTGAGTTGCTTCTGCGTAGAAATACTAGAACATGTGTTCACCTCAATTTTTGATATTTAGGTCACATCTAAGATTATAATTCACCATTGTAACATTGTAGAAAAACTCAGAAAACAAGGAAAAGCATGCCATGGACTCTAAATGATTACAAATATCATATGCCATGAAATATTGTAACTGTGACAGCACTTTATATTCAGTGCTCAGTAGATGAGATTGGTCAGATTGATCTCAAAATTGGAAAAAAGGTCACCTCTGTGGTCAAGCAAAACATACAGTATAAATTTTGTTATTCATATATTATCGTGCTAACAGCTTGATTTAGATATTTTAAAGTTTTGGCATTGATCTCAATTTTTCATGTGCTCTCAACCTTCTTGCATAAAATACTACTACTGTGTGCTGTTAATTGTGGGGGACTGTTTTGTTTAGTATGTGATCAACCATGTACCACAGCCCTTCATCCCTCAAGTAGTTTAGTTTCAGCTGGCTTCCCTTTGTTCATCTAAATAAACTGAAACCAGCACAGAGATCATTGCATGGTTGGTGATGATGCGAGAAGAAGAGCAACCACTCATGTGGGTCAATGCTGCAGGACATGAGTGGAGCCAAAGGCATAGGTTTGGTCTCAACATTGGTAGGGATAAATGGTAAAATGTAGAATAAGAATACATTTGATCATTTCCTCACCTCCAATATATTGGCGTCTCCTGAAACGAGTATGCACAGCACTGGTATTTCAATACTGCCACTACCTGTTGTTGGCCAAGATAAGAAGTTAGAAGAAAAAGGCAGCTTCTTTACAGAAACAATGCATGAGGTGCAGAAAAAGATAAGAAATACCTTCTCATAATATCCAGCAACCTTTAAATAAAAGTGTACTATATGTCTTATTAGGAGTCAAATTATTAGTAGTTTTTAAAACCTCTCAACTTCCATCCAAATGGTCTTTAACCTCATAGCATTCCTTTATTTTGGCCTTTATTAATCCAGAGTAGGTTTCCTGGGCACAAGACAAGAACACTGTGCCCTGCTCTCACACAGCTGATCCATAAACTGTATGTAAAGATGGACAAGGCATCACCACTTCATGCCACTATGCAAATGTGAAGCCAAAATATCATAAATATGGGAGCACAGCCATCTTGTTTTTGCGATTCATTTTGGAACCAGATTCTGTGGAGCAGCAACCAGAGGTGGCGCACGGCCTTTTTATATCATTAAATGATTTATTAAAAGCAACTTAGAGAAAAATGATGACTTGTACACAAATAAGCATGACAACTTAGTAAAATGACAGTATTCGCCTTTTTTTAACCTTTGAATTTTTAGTTTGACTTATATAGAAGCCACTAAAATGAGGGGGGTGGGGTTTACAACTTGCACTGCAAGCAACTCCCAGGGGGAGGTTTCACTTCTGGAGTGCTGTCATATCATCCAGCTTTATATACAGTCACATCCAGTATGTGCTCTCTCTCTGACAGTCACCAATTTGTAAAGGCATTTAAATCTTGTCTTGACAGTGTGATGAGTTCTACAACTATGACCCTCATCACTAGTATGCAGGTAAGTACTTTACCCACTCAGAAAACAAACTACAATGCGTTCAAGGGACTTTTACCCCAGGGAATGTTCTTGGACATTAGTTCCTGGGAAAGAAAAGTACCAGTAACTTTCCAGTGGAAACGCCCCTATAAATTACCTTTGATGGTCATATGTTCACCTTAGCAACAATAATATACCATAATATAAACTGTTTATTGATTACTCGGGCAAGAGTGACCCTACTTCCAATGTCTCACCACAAATGCCAGTGCGCTGATTGGAAATGTAGTCCTCTAGTTTAGCACAAAAGCTGGGGATTCCCTGTTGGCAGTCAACACTCCCGTCATCCACCAGAAGGAAAGCCTGGTTGTTGTTGTCTAGGCAGCATGAGTCATGTGATGTCATGTAGTAATGAGCTGGGAAACTCCCCTTCAATCAGACAACACAAGAGTAAATGTGGGTGAATGCATTACAGGAATGTGATGAAATCTACTCTGCCACCCTTCTTCTTATTAGATTAGATTCAACTTTATTGTCATTACCCATGTACAAGTACAAGGGAATGAAATACAGTTTAGCATCTAACCAGAAGTGTAATAACAGCAGTGCAGAGTGCGCAGTATCTACAGTATGAACAGTCAGAACTAATTTACTGATAGGTATGTATAATTGAACTTTTTATCTGATGACAGCTAGGAGTTTCTGGTCAATTTTACCATCAGACTGTCATGACTCTGTTCCGCCTGTTTCCGGTTGTATGCTTTTGTTTTGACATAACTTCCTGTTTAGCTATAGCTTAGTCACAGACTTTTTTATTTTAATCAGGACTCTATTGTTGACACCTGTTTTCACCCATATTTAGGCAGCGTCCTCCCACCAGGACGCTGCCAAATTGTTCTAGACCCCAGCTCTGACTTTCCAGCAATTATTCTTGTGCATGATTCACTTGTTCTGACCCTGGATTGCTTTTGACCACCGTGATTTGCCTTATCCCCCCTGAGTCTGTTAGCCTGCTGTACCGACCCTCGGATATCTCCTCTCTGACTTTGCGATTGTGGATTCCTCGGATGTGTGTGTTTGCCGGCACTGACCTTGGATTGTATTAGTGACCTGATGTGGATTCTGGACTTTTGTTCTGTTTGTTTTGTGTTGCCAGTAAAGTGTCTAGACTCTACCTGTCTTCATCTGGCGTTATAATTGAGTTCACCCTCGACATCATCGGCAGCTTTACGCGCCGACCCTGACATCAGATGACAACAGTCATCATCACCATGCTTTAGTACACAGTATTCATTGTTCATTGTCAGGATCCTAGTCTTTGTTTTGTGTAAGCCCTATGTTTACATGTTCTGTTAGACCCAGCCCCTGTTTTTGTTCATTTTTCCTGCTCTTACTAACTGCTCCAACCAGCTTCACCCACACTTCCATCTGTGTAATCAACCACTTTGCATTTAAAGCTACTCTACCTAATTTCTTCTCAGCCTTGAGCAGGGGTAGGAGGTCCCAGTCCTCAAGTGCTGCTGCTCTGCTTGTTTTCCAAATATTCCTGCCCTACCCACTGGTGATTACCTGGATCAGGTGTGTTCAGATGTGGAGTGAGGAAAGACAAAGTAAATTGGTATCTTACTGCTTCTGACTGACTGAACATACATGATCCAGGTAATCAGCACTGGGTAGGGCAGAAATAGAAAACAAGCAGGGCAGCAGCACTTGAGGACTGGGATTGCCTACCCCTAGCCGAGAGGCTCTAGTGAGAGTCAAAACAAACTGACACCATAAGCTGCTGCTAATTGCTCTTTCCCCCGCCATTTCCTCCTCCATCTTATCTCCTAGCACCAACATCAACTAGAGATGCCTGATTGTAACAAACTACAAAATGTAGCCTCCACTCTGAAGCCAGCATTAGCTTATTTATGAGTACTCTTCGCAAACCAGTAAAATGGTTTGCCATTGTGAACACCATTACAGCTTTTTTTTACTCTAGCTTGTTTTTATGTCCATGTCTCATTTATGTTCTGTGATTACTACTGTTTGCTTACCACTTACCTGCCATCATATTTACCTGTTTCATATTACATGTATTGTTGTATCTGTGTTATTGTATTTATTAGAGCCAGTCATATTACTTGTATTGTTTTAGCCAGCCATCATAACTGCATGGTTGTTTACTTGTGTACCAGTCTGCCTAGTTCCTGCCATTATACATCATACCTGTCTGCTGTGTTTACCTGCCTTTCTACCAGTAACCTGTACTCCACTTAGGACCATTAAATTCACTGTCCACCTGGCCCACCTTGTCTTTGGTCTTCATCTGGGCTCTCATTTTACTAAACGTGACAATTAAAGTGATTTGCAAGCGCCAGGACTTGGTGTGTCAGTCTCATGCAAAGGTTTAGGCACCCCTTGATAAATAACAGATTTTGGTGATTTTTTATTTGAACCGATGTTAACACAGTCTCTCTTGGAAATGGAAAAAATGCACAATATTTTCAGCAAATAGTGATGCATAGTTACTTCTTATGCCATAAATTGAACAAAAATAAAAAAATAAAAACATTATTATGGCACAGTGCAAAAGTTTGCAAAAAACCTGCAGGAAGATTTAGCAAACTCAGGAGTGGTGGTGCACCGTTCCACTGTGCAGCGATGCTTGCACAGACAAGACCTTCATGGAAGAGTCAGCAGAAGAAAACTTTACCTGTGTCCCCATCATAAAATCCAACGTCTGTTATGGTTCCCCCCTCACCAGGAAGGTGAGGGAGAACTGTGGTTGGACTCAAGAGTGCAGACCCAGGTGCTAGGGGGGGAAAAAATGTCGGTTTACCGGTAAAAGAACACAAAGTAACAACAGAACAGTCCGGGATGGGTGGAGATGACTGGAGAAAAAACAGGAACAAACAGGTGAGTCCAAGAACTGACGGGGTAAAACCAAGATGGCAGGAAGATAAGGATGGACAGGCGAAAAAACAAAAAGAGTGGTGAACGACAAAAGAAAAAACAAGCGCACAGGGACTGTCAGCGGAAAAAAAAGTCTAATGCCGCTTCGCTACACTTAATACAAAACATACCACGCGATCCTCCGCACAGGAACTGTTTTTATTTTTTATTTTTGTTCAATTTATGGCATAAGAAGTAACTATGCATCACTGTTTGCTGAAAATATTGTGCATTTTTTCCATTTCCAAGAAAGACTGTGTTAACATCTGTTCAAATAAAAAATCACCAAAACCTGTTATTTATCAAGGGGTGCCTAAACTTTTGCATGAGACTGAGCATTTAGGGTGTTACAGTGTTTGCTTCCTGGTTAAAGCACCACTTACTCTGCCCTCCACTTTACTCTGCTCTCTCTCTGTTCTCACCTTAATAATTTTAAGTCCGTTTTGCAACAGACTGCTTGAAGACTTACTTTCTTAAACAGGTGTGTTCCATATACTTTCTCAAATTAAATGTATTTGTCTTGTATATTGTGGAGTATCATTCTTGATAGTTTCAAGAAACACGTTCATTTATAGAAAATTACAATTTAGAGTGACTTATAAACAGATCTTGACACAATGACAAGATTTTATCCTGTATCTGCTGCCATATTTTGTTTTTGTTTTTTATAAATGTATGTATAATGTGTAATTTATAATGTATGGTTTGTTGCCCTTTGTCCCCTTACCCCTGGTCTCTGAGATGATCGTGCAATATAAGGATTTCATCGTACAGAAGTGCACATATGACAGTAAAGTATCTACCTATCTTTCATTGAAAAAGCAACACAACTCTTGTTAATGCAAATCAAACACAGAAAAAAGCACTACATTTATGATTAGTGATTAGTTAAAACACATACAAAGTTTTGCTTATATACAAGTGACATACATTATGTAATTTCTAATACATTTTCTTACATTTGTAATATTGTGAAATAAATGTTAGACTTCTGGCTTGTCTCATAAGTGTGACTTTTCCACTGGAACTATCAGATCAATGTCAAAACTCAAGTCTGTTTAATCTTCCGATTTAGAGGAAGTCCTCTACACTCTCTCTCCACCAGACATTGGAGTCTTTAATTGTTGGACATTATATATTTGGGCTTTTTCGCTGCCCATGTAAATATTGCTGCTGAACATAATGTCAGTGCCTGATATATACAGTAGCTGTTGTGTCCAATCTTCTGAAATGTGTCTGTGTACCGTCCCCTATTTAATTCTATCTCACTTGACTTAGGCTTATTTGCTGCATTATAAACATGACCCTTGCTTGTTTCATTTACTGTACTTATTTGTAAACAGGTTTCTCCCTTCTGTTCAGCTTTTGTGGGCTTTATACATCGCGTTAATATTAAATGTTTCAGAGGGAAAAACCTGATCAAAGTATCTAAACCTATGTTCATATAACCTTGAGCACTCAATAAGATCTTTTCACGTTGTCCTTTGGAGATGAAAGGCTTGTTGTACATACTATGTAAAACAGATGCAGAAGGCAATTTGCAGTAAAGTGTAATTCATCTTCTAAAATGATACATCATTGTTCAAATTGGCATCAGTATTTTTCTTCATGTTGACCAGAGGTTAGTGTTGTCTTTGGCTGCAAGAACTAACTGATCGTTTATTTGGTCAATCGCTCATGACAAGCAAAGGGTGCAGGCTGTAGAGTGGACACCCTAAGAACAAGCTCATGGATTGTGTGCTGTATGTTGAGTACCTTGGCATTGACAAGCTGCTGATTGTTGTGCACCCTACCCCACGGTGCCAGTCCCACAGCAGTCACTTTCTTCTGGGACAGAGCTGGAGCTGCAGCCCTGTGGTCCCTCACTGCCTCGCCCACACAGAGGGACACACCCTCTCTCAGACCGCCTGTCAAGATCCAGGCCCCTGGGCAAGAGTGGGGAGAAAAGTGACGTGGGTGGTTTCAATCCAAATTTGAACCAAATTTTGAATAACTGGCAAAAAACAGAATAAATGTTCTAATCTTTTTATTATCTCTGAATCAGATTGATGTTACAGTTCTCCTTCCTCCTTTCACCTCCAAACATGCCTAATACCACGTATTGGGTCCATTCAGATCCACTCTGGTATTGGACATTTTCACAGAGACCTGAGACCTGTGGCAGTAAAATTAGCCCCAGACCAACTAAACTGAGCAGAATCTGGACCTGGGTTTTGGGTTGGTTCCTCAAAACTGATTGGGCCTGTGAGGACCTCTGTCCACTAATGTTATGTAAATAGTAAAATTGGGTTGTTGAGATACATTTTCAGACAGTACCATTAAACCATTGAAAAAGAGGGTGCAACAAGATGACATAATTTAAAAGGCTCCAGTCAAAAGTCAAACTGTGAAATAAATCTGGAAAACATGATTTCGATTGTTCTTTCTATTGTATTCTGAATGCAGATCATTTGGAGGTTTTAGGTCAAACTGACATGTAAACATTGAATGACAAACTTTGGAAAAAAAATTTTTTTAAATAATACAGCATTTGTAGCAAACAATTTTGGTAATGCTTTATTTAATGTAACATGTTAACACAACACTTGGATCTACGTTATGATAGGGTTTTTTTGGACAGCAAAAGTGCAACTGATTTATTTTGTTTTTCTATGTTTAAAGGGAAGCAAATAGGGTTGTGACATTTTTCTCTGTAAATACTGGGTAAGTATACCTTATTTTTGCACGTAGTGTAAGTACAACATACAATCATTTTGTAGATCCAAGTATTGCATTATCATGTTACATTTTACATTTTATATCCTTGAATGGAGGGCCTGCTTCTGTGGACAGTTGAAAAGGTGAGTATTCCACTGCTGCCTGCGTGGGGGAGAGTCATATAACAGTCATGAATTAATCATCCACCGTTTATTGGTGAAGTGAGATGACACTGTCCTGAGAACGAACGTGCTAAACACTTTTATCTGGTGGTCTATATGTTAAATTTTGGCATAAAATCATATCAGACATGACTTTATGTTTCAGGTGTTGTTGCTAAATTTTGTTAATCTTTTATCCTGTAATTATAGAATAGCTACCCTGTAGTTAAAAATTAATTACCATGTAAAAAGTGCTCCCAACAGAAAGGGCACGTATCATATACATACAACATAATATCAGAACATACCCCCATTACTTAGTAACTACTTACAGTACATTCAGTCCAAGTTTCTTCCAAATGAAAGCTTGTTGGATGAATGGTGCATATAATAAGCAATGCATACATCATAGTATCTGAATAGATACCCCCATATTAGAAACTACTTACAGTACATTCAGGATGTTTCTTCCAAATGAAAGGTTTTTGCCTGGCACCTATCATATACATACAACGTAATTTTAGAATAGATATTCTGTACTTAGAAAATACAGTATAATTACATGTGAAGTCTCCGGTTTGTTACCCCATTATTCCTAAAATGTTGCATGTTGGTCCACTGACCTTACATATATGTATCGATAGGTATTGTACAGGTACACCGTTACTACACGGAATGATGCTCTAAATGCAGGCTACATACCCTGTCAGTCACAATCTGTAAAATAAAGCATTACCGAAATTTTCTTTACAGAATTGCTTTGCTTTCTCTAGAGTTTGTCTACACATGGAGAGTGGATATCAAACTGTTTGTATGGAATTTAACTTTATTTAGTTACTTTTTATAAATAATTTAATAAACACGTCTTACACATTTTGGTGTAATATTGTCGTATTTTGGTGTTAATCTTCTATGTGTATAATTTAATAAGGTTATTTCTGCTGAAACACCATGCAAACAATATTTTATTATTTTCAAAGTTTTCATACAAAATTTCTCCATGTTGCATTCTCAGTGGTTTCTGTGTGACTATGACTTCCTACCTGTGCTCTGAGCAGCCTTAACCAGCCCATTTCTCAGGATATCTCTCACCCATGTTTTCATCTTCTCATGGCTTTCACCCCCTGCCACCGATACTACCAAGTTGGGTATGGGTAGGCCCCATTGACCCGTCATCAGGTTATAGACAACCTGAGGTGGTGTGCTATATGACAGCCGCAGAAACTAGATAGGACAAAACAAGAAGAGATAACCAGGAAAAGAGATGCAGTTGTCAAGTCATTTATCCAGTGATGCAATGCATTAAGAAATTTTAACACACTTCATTTTATGTGTGACTTCACTGTAGCTGAAAACAAAACCTAGAGCTCCAGTGGGCCACTGCAAGCAATGTTCCTTTTGAGAAGATGCTGCCCTGTCATTTCTCAGAAAGCTTGACTGTCCACATCAGGTTTTAGCTGTTTCAGTTGTTCTTTTCCTGTTTAATACTTAAAGAAAAAAGTATAACTATTGTGAGATTAATCTCAAGATAGCCTTTCCTAAGAATAAATCAAAATATTCTGAAAAAAAGTCAAACTAATATGAGAATCAAGTCAAAGTATTCTGAGACCTAGTGTCTGAATTTTCTGAGGATAAAGTCAGAAGAGACTGAGAACAATGCTGGAGTAATCTGACCTAAGTGACACTACAGCACTGTCATATTTAAGACAAAAGATTGAGCAGAGAAAAGTATTCATGCACTGACCTTTATCTTTACTAGATGAAAATTAACGCTATGAGTGTATTAGAACTGAATCTTGTCATCGGCTGTAAGTTGCTGCCCCATTCCTTCCTATGTAAGTTGCTCACAAGGTACATACATCGAAGATATTCTGAACTCATAAAATAAGGTCAGAGCTCTTGCGAGCTAATTTCGCTTTTAGCGGCTCTGGAGACACATGCTGTGTGGTTCAACAAAGTAGTTCGCTCTCACTTGCTCACTGTTTGATGAAAACTGCTTTGCTGTCCCAAAATCTTTTATCTGGCTGTACATCGCCACACTCAAAACAATATTCCCTGGTTTCAGATCTCTGTATATTTTCATACAGCATATCAAGCTCACAAGTTATTCTGGTTTTCTGACTTATCTAACATGATCAGGTCAAAGGGCAGATGCCAGAAGATGAGAGCAGAAGAAGATAAGAGGAGGGTGGTGTGCTGCTGGTAGTGAAGAACTCCTGTTGAGACCATGGACTATGTACAACAACCCCTCACCCATAGTATTGTTACTGTTGCCATCAGTTTTTTCATGTAAATAAACTGAAGTAAATAAACTGGTTGTTAACCTAAGAACAGCCACCAATTAGGTGAGTCATTGCTGCAGGGAATGAGTGACATTATAGTAGAAGGGTGGAAGCATTCAGAATTCAGGTAAGCCTGCATCTTTATTTGTTGTTGGCAACGAAAGGCATTCAGTGTTTCCTGTCATCTGTTTGGAGCTGGTACAGCTGTAAGAGACAGTGCTAATTAAGTCCCCTAGGACTAATTACAGATTGTTCTACCAGCAGCACCTGTGCTGTAATAGTTAACGTTTATAAAGGAAAGAGTCATGTTGGAGGGTTTGTGATGCTCAGAAAAATGTGTTCATCATTTCACAGTTGTTTCCTTTGTAATGACTGTTAATTAGGTCACCGAGTGTCAAATGTGTCAACCTGCTATTCAGATTGTAGCTGTTGTAAATTATGAAATGCTGCACACACAGCACCAGCAAGGTTGTTGGGGATAAATGATGAGTTCATCTTGGATTTGGCTTGAATAATTTAGTTGGGTGATCAGAGGGTTCTAGTCACGCCAGCAAAGGGTATAGCAGTGCATGTGGGGCTCTTTGTGTGTTGGTGTGTGGGAGTGTGTTCAGTACTGCCACTCACAGGACTCTGTTTGCGTCCAGCACCGGCAAACTCCACCTTTCCAAAGGCGTCAGTGGGATACTCTGAAGTGTGATGTTTGCTGTCCCACTTGGTGACAACAGCTGTTCCAAAGTTGTCTTCAGTTGCCACAGAGATGTGCCCCTCCCGCACACCACCACATTGACACAATGTTCCATTACTGACACACAACAGAGAAACCAAGAAACCCACAAACCTGTTATTCTGTGGTTGATGTGAGTGGCTCAATGGCACATACTCATGTCAAAGGCACATAATGATACATTATTATTGAGAGACAGGGCAGTACCAACTGTGAACCAGCAAGCATCTCACTGGTAAAATTAAAGTTGATCTTTTACTAATCTGAAACATAAAATGCTATTAACTTAAGTAAACATTTTCATGAACATCTACAAAATTACAAGTGTTTAAACTGAACATACAGTATGCACAAAATGTTCACTGTTTAAATATTCACTAAAAATATTTTTCTACAATATCTACTCCAGCCAACCATAGCCCGATTAATATATAATGTTCTTTTAGCTCAAGCACTTGATAAAGTTTAGGGGAAAATTGTTGTCTTGATTAAATACTAAAAAGTCATTGTTGACTTAAAGCACAAGGCGGGACATGTTAATTTTTTTCAGTATTTAACAAAACCAGTATTCTTCCTGAACATTAACCAGGTCTTTTACAGTAATACCATGAAGTTAACTTGTGGGACATAGGAAGGAAATCCCATCCACTATCTACCCCCAAACTCCTCGAGATATTTACAGCTGTGGAACACTTTGTGGACTGGATAGAACTTGGGCAAAATCAGCATATAAACATAACTGAACTTGTTCGGCATGGCATTTTTAATGCATTATTTGCATTACTGCACATTTTGGCCTAATTCTGGTGTATTTTCTATTTTTCTTGCTGTAAATAAATCTTGTTTAGAAAAAAGACCAACATTTTGTGAGATATGTGCTGGTGGAAAAGCTGCCTTCACTTTCATTTTCAAGGCTACACATGCAAGTTCTAATTTTAAATGATGCCTTGACATAAAACATGAAAAGAATACAACTTTTAACAAAATGAAATCACACAGCTAGATAAAAAAAGACAAACACAATTAGACAAACACTGAGTGCAAACACAATACAAGACTGTGACACTGGTAGCAAAATAGCCAGCATCACTGGCCACTAAAAGCAAGACTCAAATCCTGATTTTAATGACATTTGTCAACAGCATAGCAACGAAAAAAAAAATCTTTTATCTGTGTAATATTTGACCAAGTGAAAGCACATGTAGATACAAAACAGAAGGGAAACAAGGACAGGACCTTGTGGTACTCCATAGTTCAGATGGGAAGTAGATATAAAATTATCAAACATAATGGTAAACATTCTGCTCGAGAGGCAGAAAATAAACTTCACAAGAGCAGTTTCTGCTCACTATGACTGTTAAGTGACAAAAATATGATCTGCTGAGTCAAAGACAGATCATAGATTCAGTAAAGGGGTTGTGATCAGAGAAACAGAATCATGTCATTAAAATATTAATTCTTTATGAATGAATCCAATATTTTCTATTTTATAAAAAATTAGGAGACATTACCTGGAAGAGTTTTCCACAAAAGTGGTGCATACTCGCTTCCTGATGATCTTAGGAATCCAGCTCTGTGAACAAGAAAACACTTTACTAGCACCATAACAAAGCAGACATATCAAGAACAAGGTTGTAGCTTTGCATATGGACAGTAGGGACAGTAGGCACATATTTTGGGAGGACAAATGTTTCGCTACCAATATTTGAGCAAACCAATACACATGATCTTTGGAGTCATATTAGATCATTCCAATATGGCTAACCGGGTGAAACGTATAGCACCAGATCCATGACTTTAGTCTTTGACACTGAAAAGTATAGCTTGGCATTGAAAACAAAACTGTAACTGAAAATAACAAAACCATCACCAAAAAAAGCAAATATTAGCATTGAAGTATTTGTATTAAAAAACACTGGCATTAAAGTAAAGCATTACTACTGGAAAAATGACAAGCATCAAATTTTTCCTTAAATGCTTTTCCAATGCCAAAGTTTTTTCTTTCAGTTTCACTTCTGTGTCACAGTCTTGGCATGGTGGGGAGGGCTTTGAGGGGCAGGCTAAGGAAAGTGTGATTTGCATACCCTGGTTGAGCTCCATGAGGAGAGGACAGCCCTCTCCCCTGAGCTGCTGTCCACATCGAGGCTTCTGTCTGCCGAGCATGGCTGCATAGTTACTTCAGCAGCTTCCGCAAATTCAACTAGAGTTCTCAAACTGCTGTTTGTTTCTCTCTACCAGTGTCTTTAGTCCCAGAATTCAGCTATATTAAAGCTCACTTATAACTAACATTTGGCTGGTTGGCAGAGGTCTATTGCAGCAAGTGCTAATGTTAGCTACAGGTATGCTATACCTAATATAGCTAATGTTAGCTTTAACTAACACCAGCAGTGCACAGCCGCTTATCTGAGACTTTCTGTGGGATCTTCTGGGACTGTCTGCCACATAGTAATGTTAGATTGCACCGTGTGGAACAGGGCTAATGAATTCTGATTTGACAGCTTAAGGAGACGTTACAATACAGAGTGACATTTTCTTTGTTTTTACATCTCTGAATGTTGTGAAAGGGCTTTAGACATTATAGAAAAACCCTTAACACTCAGTGACACCCACTTTCAAATTTGTGAAAACTATGAATAATAAAATTGAAAAACACTGACATTGACAAAAAATCTGAATGTCACTGAAAGAAACAAGTGGCAATGAAAAATAAGAATGAATTATATGGCCAAGTATGTTTACACACACAAGGAATTTGTTTCCGGTACAGAACCGATGGCAGCCATCTGCGGCGCCATTGGTACAGAACCGATGGCAGCCATCTGCGGTGCCAACTCAACCGATGGCTTTAACCATCGGGGGTAACGGGGGGGTTCAGTGTCTTGCCCAAGGACACTTCAACACATGGACTGCTGGCACCGAGACTTGAACCTCCAACCTTGTGGTTGGGAGACGACTGCTGTAAAGCAGCAAAAAAGCATAAGCAAAATAGAAATTATGCATCTTTTGTTTCATTGTAATGTAGACAACAAGCTGTTATCAAAATGAGCTGTCCTCTGCCCCAGACAGTGGGTCTCATTCACCAGCTGTTCTTAAGAACAAGTTTGTTTATAAAACCACTTACGAGGTTTTCACAAAGATACCATTCACCGCTGTTTTCTTATTTGAGCACTGATGTGTGTGAAACAACTGGTTATTTAGTTTTCTTCAGTTCAACAGTTACAATATTACTAGATTTGAGTTACAATAACAGTTTTGTCGTGATTAGTATTTCTTTAATATTTTCCCATTAGTTTACAAAGCATTATGGTCTTTTTAAAACAAACACTACACAAAAAATTACAGCAAGCAATTCACTGTTTGTTTTTAAAGTTTTAAAATTAATTAAACTTTTACAGCATGATTATCTGTAGCTTAGAATTAGGAAACGCATCACTTAAAAACACTTTTAAGTGCATATCTTTATTCATTCATTCATTTTCTACCGCTTAGTCCCTGAACGGGGTCACGGGTGGGGCCGGAGCCAATCCCGGCCGGCAATCGGGCGAAGGCGGGGTACACCCTGGACAGGTCGCCAATCCATCGCAGGGCTAACACATGCATATCTTTATTTCTAATTAATTCCTTTAAGTGCACACTTTATTATTATTGTTATTTGACAAAACATTACTATAAAGGATTTACAACTTCCTGCAGGGGGTAAAAGTGAGATTTACAATGTCCTAATGGTAACTTCTTCATACAGTTTTGTGCAATTCTGTCTGCAAATGTGATTTTACTTATTGGATATTAAGAGGTATGCTGACAGCTGTATAGAGCACATGAAACAGAATAATCGTAATAGGACTCTGAAAAGGAAGAAGAAGAAGGGAAGCTACATTGAGAAGAACCACAGATACTGCAGAAGCAGCAACATGCAGGTCCAGTTAGCAGATCTTAATCAGGCAAGCAGAAAGAAACAAGGTAAATTCAGATCATATGAACATAAGACAGACAGACTGAAAAACTACCTATAATATTTGAATATAGACATCATTTTTTGTAAACGAAGAGAACCCAGATGAAGATGAGACAGACAGGATTAAACATTCTGTGCAGATTTTAATGGCTAAACACATGAAATGGTGGAAGTACACACAGGATGGCAGGCGGCAGAATAAAGCGCAAATCACAGTAGATATTGACTGATAAATGAGGAGCATATAA